TTCTTCATCTATGATTCAGAATCACACTGCCTGAGAAACTGATAACATGATCTGATTCATGATGCTGCAGCAAACTTCTGATGTTTAAATCCAATGTCCTGGATTTGAGAATGTGCGGTGTCATAGTTAGGCTAAACTTTCACAGCAGCAGGAGGTGCTCTGAGGTAACATTGAAAAGATTATTAGAGTTAATGTTTCTGCCTTTATGGTACTTATTGTACCTTGAGTGCTAAGAGGGACGTCCAAGAGGCTCACAAACAGTGATAGTATGAGTTTGCAGTTGATAAGAAAGTCCTGGCCAAGCAGTGACACAGTGTAATGACCTTTTGACTGACCAAGCGTGGGAGGGGAGTAGACAGTCAGTCACGCTGAACTGTGTTTGATGCAGTATCAGTATCAGCATATTTCTGGCTAGAAGCCATTTGCCTTCCCTGTTGAGATGTATGCCGTTGTGGACAAATAAGTTTGGTCTGTTCCAGAATACATTAAAATTGTCTACAAAGAGGATTCTTAAAGAGTGACAGTGTCCTTTGAGCCAGATTATTTTAGTGTTTCCGACTGCTGTAGCTTAAGATCGTTAGAGCCAATATGATTTATGACTGTAGATGCAGCAGGATGATTGTGAATGATATTGGGGAGCAGTAAGTTTATGTGAGATACCTGAGCAATATTTAATATTGGTGACTCAATCCAGTGCAGATTTTACAGTGGACTAAAAACTCAACAATAATGTAACACTGACCTAAACTAATGCAGACTTGATGTTAACTGCAATGGATTAATAGTCTGTTAATTAATTTCCATATCAGACAGACATAAATGGAAACCAATGGTTTTTACAAACATGAAACCGTAAATAATACATTGAAATTGTTTTTTTTTAAAAAGAGTTGCCATATAGAGAAAAAAGAAAAAAAGAAGCTCTATTCTACAGTGTAAGGTGAGTTAAGAAGAGCAGAATCCGCTCTCACCATAATAATCTCCTCATTTAAGTGTCTTTACAGGGCCAAAGGAGCAGCTGCAGTTCTTCACTTTTAGACTGCAGAGTACACTCAGAGTGCCAGGATTGCACTCAGCCTCCGTCTCAGCAGACATCTACTGCACCGTTTAATACGACTTCCCGACCAGATTTACTGTGATGGCTTTTGAGGCAAAGAGGTATAATATGACAAAACATGGCCCCATAACCCCGGGATATTCAACAATGTTTAGTGGTGAGACCCATTTAGCTGGAGGATTGGCAAATATATTGCTTTCCTCCCTTCTCATGTACAGAATTTCAATAAAATGGGGCAGTAAATCAGGCTTGAATTCAAACTTGTGACTGCTCTTTTACTATATAGGCCTCTGTATTTGATCTGGGGGTGGTGGTGGGGTGTCTGTGGATTGTCCATTACTGCTTTGTACTGTGTTGTCATTTGCGGTTTTAAGTGAAATAAAGTGTAGATATACCATTAGGAACAAGTGAAGGATACATTTACACTCAACCTATTCTATTGTTTCACAGAGATACAGTAAGTGATACAAAAGGAGATCCAGACGTACGATCATCGATACAAGTCTTGTCTAAAGTGTTTTTTTTCCCATGGTGCCCACCTCTGAGGGGTTATTTTAACATCAAATTACACACACACACAATACAGTGAGTGCTGGGGGACACATTGATGGAATGTGAATGTCAGCGGTCTCTTTATTTACCCTCCATATAAAACACTGAGCAGTAATTAACAGCAGGTATCCTCCCTAGGCAGAGGGTAATTGACTGTTTCAAAGCACCAACACTTCATAACCCAGGGTGGTGTGTGTGTGTGTGTGTGTGTGTGTGTGTGTGTGTGTGTGTGTGTGTGTGTGTGTAAGAGAGAGACAGAAGAGACAGAAACTGTATGTGAGAGAGAAACCGAACGTGCATGTTTTTGTGTGCGCGAGTGTATTAAAATTAACTCCTTTATATTCCACACCTCCCCCACCTCCCCCACCTCTCCTCCCCACCCCTCCCTTCCTCCCAATAAGGATAAGGGTCAGCGGTGGTGGGCTGAGCCACTCAAACGCTCCAGATTTCTTTATGAGCGCATTAACATTCAGGCGTATTCATTATCAGTAAGTGTAGTAAGATGGACCAAGCGGAGACCTTGTGCCACCATCAAAATGTGCACTGTTAATTTTAGTACGTGAGCAGAATGTTTGCAAGTGCTCGAGGGACAGAGGTCTATTTTTTTTAATCAAGTCAACAGGGACAGCTTTGGATCTTTAGCCAGTGACAAAAACTTCCCCATCCACGTATCTGTCCTGCATCAGGATTTTGACAGTTTACAAAGAAAGGTGTTTTTTTCACAATTCTTTTTTATTGCTGTTCTCATTTCCAACTGACTAAAACCCCAAATGACATAGCCAATGATTTTTCTTCTTGAATGCTGTCTGTGCAGAGTTTGACTCTAGAAGGATGTTTTCACATTCATCTGCTGAAAGTGGAAAGTTTCTCTGTGCTCACTGAACATCTGATTTTAAGGGGCGGGGCCTACCAGCATGATTTGTGACATCACAAAAATTGTTAGGAAGTCAGTCCTGGTCCAGTATGCAACTTGTACAGTGTGATGTAGAAACTTGAAGCCACCAGTGCACATCTACTGGGAATGGACTTAACAGTGAAGTAGGAGACATCTTGTGTCCAGCAGCACAACTTTAGAAATGAACATTTTCATATTCTTTATAAGGAGTGAATTACTTTTTAAGGGTTTTAATGTGGTTTTCTTTGTGGAAAAAACAGATCAGACACAAATTATTGTTCCAAGCAGACAACTTGTATATGCGTCTTAATACATGTCTGTAGGGGATCCTGAAGAGAAGCTAATTTTAAATTAAGACCCTCACACAAGTAGCTGTGGACATTTTCTGCCTTAATTCTGGTGAAAACAAGTAGCAGCCACCACAGCTGAAGATGGGAAAACAAAAGGCTGCAATGTTTTTGCATATTAGCCACCAAGGTGACCCTCTCCTTTACAGCGATGAGGTGGAAGCCAACCTATTGAATGCAAATTAAACCTGCATGTTACAAGGAGCAAGGGTTAATAAGAGAAGTTCGCTAATATTATGAAGCCTAGGGCTGTTGTTATCATATGACAAGGTTCAAACTAGCCACACAAGCACTCAATACTGCCACTCATGCTGTGCAAGCCAAACACTGTGCACTGCGTTGCTCAGTTTACACAATGAAATGTCACTGAATTAAAATAGCCCAACTGTTTACTTCTGTACTCTTTTAGGCACAGGTGAGTTTTCAAGTTAATTACACAGCTATTAGCTATTTTAGCTGTTTTTAAATGTACATGTTGATAAATCTGGAAAATTACAAAAATATACACGTTAGAGTGACTTATTTAATGGATGAGTGCGCGGGTGAATGAGAACTGTAAAGCGCTTTGTGCTACTAAAGTGAATAGCCCCATGAGTGCAGTTCATCTATTGGGGTTGGTATTTATTCTTGAACAGCCTTGTAACAGGGTTTACACACAGCATACAGGCATGAAAGTAGTATCTAATCTCACTTTCAGCAAGAAAGTGAAGTGTATTATCACTACACTATCATATCAGAGTTTTCTGGCTAATTAACTTGCTGATCTTGTAAAATAATGAAAATCATAGTTGTAAATTAATCAAATTTTTTTTTTTACAGTTGATTTACAGCAAACAAGACGAAACTGGGGCGCCCAGTTAGCTCAGTGGGTAGAGCTGGCGACCCATGTACCAAGGCTCAGTCCTTGCTGCAGCGGCCCAGGGATGGAATCCGACCTGCGGCCCTTTGCTGCGTGTCATCCCCTCTCTCTGCCCCCCCCTGTCTCTATAATAAAGGCAATAAAAGCCCCCAAAAAATATATATAAAAAAAAACAAACAAGATAAAACAAATTCAGACTAAATCATTTAAAACAATCAGTTAAGAAAAAGCCACAAGGTAAAAATGTGTTTTAAGACGAGATTTAAAAGAGGATATATACAAAAAAAGTGTTTCAATGCACATGCATTTTTGTTTTTATATTTCAGCCTAAATGTTTTTGTCTCAGCCCAGTGTCTGATTGGTCCAGGAGAACTGTAATTTACAGTCACTCTATTTATTCATCCAACCTGCTACACCATCCTGTAACCTGATCCAATGACAACCACGATCATGTCTTTCTGTACGGCTTAGCTCAGAGTGTTTCCTTTACCAAAACTCTGTAATACCGTGTTGTTCTTCCAGCCCAGTTCAAAAATGTGTTGTTGGTTCATTACAGTACATGAGACATGTACATACAGCGTGTAGCAGTCAGACTAATGATAAGTCAAGTATCTGTGGTCAGCTGCTTCACGCTCACAAAGGGCCATATGTTTACTCCATCATCCTCACAGGGGACATAAAGTTAATGAGAGGCTTGTGTTAGCATGTGTTAATTACAGTCTATGTTTGCTAATTGATTTTTGTTAATTGGGTTGGGGGGGGTAATTGTTATCTCTTAATTTATGTTAATAAGTGTTAACAGATTCTAACCAGTTGTGTCCCAACTCTAATTGCCCCAACAACAGCAGCAGCAGTAGAAACAACATGGTGTCGACCAAAGGTGCCTCCACAATTAGAGCTCCTCGGAGACATGCAACCCCGATTGGCCATGACGCTAATTATTGTTAATTGGCATGTTAACAGTTACAGGCTTTTTAAACTGACAACAGTGCTTGGCCTTTGCTGTTTATTTGTCTGGCTGTTTGCTGTGAAATGCATGACATACTGTGAATACATGACTCCAGTTAACCAAATGTAACACATAGTGCTTTGTTGTGTTAATAAAATTGTCGTTGCCTATAAAAAAAGAGCCGGCTGTTTGTAGGGTTTGCTGTGCCAAGTTATGTTGCTCTGGTCAGCGAGGCAGTAGAGGGCTAGCTGGACTGTCTGTGTTGATCAAAATGCACTCATGAAGGGAGGGACTTATCAGGGTTAGAACCAAATTCACTGCTAAATGATAACACAGTACTGTAACGTCTTTTATTTAGTTTATTAGGAAACAACTGGTACAACAGACCACTTCATAAAGCTATTAAATGTCAAGTAAATTCAAATGTATTATTTTTGATGATGCATTTCAACACTGCTTACATAACTGAATGTAAAATAAAGTATTTAAACTACAGTATAATGACATAAATATATAAACTTCTAGTGGAATAATCAACCCACAGATACACAATGACAATCCAACAACAACAAATAAGTGGTGTGCCAGTCGAACAAGATGTAGAAATGTAATGTGAACAGGCAATGATATAAGCAAAAAACCCTTGCACACTTCTTCACTGTTTAGGCTCTTACAACTTTGCAAAAAAAACCCACTTAAATGTAATAAGAAAGGAATCTATAAGTTGAAAGGGGTCAAACATTTAAACCTGCACTACTGTAGTAGTACCAGAAGAAGGCTTTTGTAATGGAACAACAGATACAGTAACACCCCTCATTAGAAAATATGTTTTGGTGGTTTAGTTTTCAGTTCTTCGTCTTTTGGGAAGACGGAGCCTCTCTGTGTTGAGGAACTGTTCAATTTTGGAGATCTGGGCTCTGAAGGATGACTGTTGGTCCTCCCTCTCCTGGGAGCATGAGGGTTCCCTGTCTGACTCTGAACTCAGACCTGTAGCTGAGGTAGGAGCTCTGCTACACCTGGTTTAAGAAGAAACTAACATTAGCTAGTTTTAGTCAACAATCATAATACTCTGACTAATACCACCTTTAAATTCTGTTAAAATATTGAGTTAAACATAACATTAGGACTGCCTGTGCTGTTATTCACTCCCACTGCTCTGGATTTTAGCTTTATGGGCAACTGCAATAACAAGTAGAACATCTATTCTGGTTAAAAGGATGGGGGTCTTTGTTATTTGGGGGTAAATATACTTACCCTGGGGTGGTCTGCCATGGCAGGCTGCTGACTGGGAGGGACAATGTGGAGAATGGAAAAGAACTGATGGACACCTGTATAAAAATGACACCAAGACGTACAAATAATAGAAGTTACATTTAGCCTTTAAATAAAAGGCAGTTAAAGGATTCATTCTTTCTCAATCCTCAGTGCCTCCTGAGGAAACTGAAAACTTGGAGTGAAAGGAACATTAACCGATAAACAAATGCAGGGAGAGACAATAGCCAGTGGCAATTGATATGTAACAGTATCCAGCCCAGAGAAAGTAGCCAGGCCCAGACTGAACTCTGTGTGACGTTCCCAGAGTTCAGAGTCTGCAGAAAATAGACCCTCACTACAATTTGTTTCACTATCACAGCAGTTTTTTTTCTCATACTCTTAAGCACGTTGCACTCTATCTCCCTCAATTGCCAACACCTGGATCTTATAAAACACAGAGTGACAGTTTGTGGTGATGGTGACAAAAGAGAGCATGAGAGTGTGTGAGAGTGAAAAAGTGAAACAGAGAAGGAAAAAGAAAGAACTAGCAAGAGGATGGAGAAAGTGAGTGAGTGAGGGACGGATGATGAAGTGAGAGAGGAAGAGAGAGAGAGAGGAGATGGATAAAGACTGAGTACGTGAGAGAGGAGAGGTACCCAAGCATCATTAGGTAGATTTTCTTCCACAGGTCGTTCATTCTCTGTCTGTCTGGCTGTCTACTGGACGTCTATGAGTTCAGCATACATCAGCTACGTCCTTTCACTCAACACCTGACTTAACATTTGTCAAAGTTTTATACATCTAAAATCTTTCTCAGATATTCTGCACATTCTGTTAAATGTGTTGGCCTGAGCGGATATTTGCATGCTCTCACTTTCTGAGCTTTTTGGACCACAAAAATGTTTAAAAAGCACTATAATGTCTAGTTCTTACGGGGACATGTCAGGTTGATATAACAGACATATTCATTAAGCTCTAGCACAGATTTCCCCTGGGGTCCACTCACACACGTTTTACAAAACGATGAAGCTCAGAATCTGTGGAACACAAACGACCTCAAACCAATTTATTTGATAGAGAAAATATTTTATAAGGGTCAATTTAACTTCCTCTGAGGCGGCTCATATGTTTCCATGGGAACATCACACTTTGGTCCTTTCCTGCTGTTCAGCATCAAGTTGTAATGCAGAGCTATGTTGTGGCTTTACTGTGATGAAATATACTTGGACATGAGCTTTAACAGTTCAAATTAAATTTTCCACATAGCTGTAAGTTGAGATCATACAGTGAGGAATCATTAATACATCATATGAGCTACAGAGGCATGTAAATCATCAGTGCTGTTTTACCTCTGTGACCTGTAACACTGAGCTCAGGTTGGTGGTTTATAGAGTCTGGAGCTTAATATCATTTTTGACTATTAATTTGTGAGTATGTCACAAAAGAGCAGCTTCTAACTTCATAACAGGTTCTGTAACTGACCTTGTCTGCCGTTGCTGTCTCTCCCATTGCCTTCCACTCTCCGTGCTGGTGTCTCCTCAAGGAAGCTGCAGTCCCAGAGACACTGGAGGCATTCAACAGATCCGACGCCTTGGTAATCACCAAGGGGACTAGGAAGAATGAGGTGAGATGGCAAGAACAGCAAGAAGGTAAGAATGAATGATTATTAGAGATGATATGAACTACAGATGCACACTGAGTTCACTATGTCAGAGGTTACCAGTGTAGCACTATTGTGTTCCACAATGGCATTATGCTTTGAACGAAATGGATCATATAAATGCAACCATCACCTTTGCTGTGCTTGCTATTGAGGAACATGGGTACCGTGCTGGGAGGATGTGTGAGGAGTCCACCAGAATCAGACAGTGGAGGTCCCTGAAATGGAAACAGAATTTAGACCTGGATTTTGTTTTCATTCTTAAAGGTTCTGATCACATTTTACAGACCAATGTCATTGCTGAGATCTGGGGGTGCAGTGATACCTGTAGACAGAGCTTTAGAATCTAGTCAAGTAGGATAAACAACATGAGCAATTAACCCTTCCTAAGTCCCGCCCTTTTGGAACCACCTTAAGATGCGAATATATATATATATGCACCTTTCATCTTTTAACCATCTTTAAATGTGGTTGTCTTTTCTACATAGACGAGTCTAGCACATAGCATATCTAAGTACAGGAAAGGAGAAAGCTGACCAAGGTTCTGACTGAGGCTTTCTCAACTGTTAAAGGAGCGGAAAGATCAGAGGTGACCCCCAAAAAAAGTACTGTAAAATCGAATGGATGTTTATATCCGACATGTTGGGTGATAACTTTAACGTTCTTTGACCTTTATTCTTGCTTTAAAAGTACTTACTTAAAACCTCTGTATACTTTACTATCAAGCTGTGTAAAGCTGTATCCCCAAATGTCTGCAAAGCAGTTAATGAGTATAATGTTATTATAACCAACACAGATTTACCTTTAAGGCTCTCTTGAAGGCTACTAAATGGTGCTAAAAGCTTGCATTTTTGAATTGTAATACCTGAACAAACTGATGCAGGCCGGAGACATCGGACTTGGTGGTTGAGCTTTCTGTTTTTCTGCGGGCACTGACCCAGTCAAACGATGACCTGTACATCTTATTGCTGGGGAGAGATGACTCATTAATGTAATCCAGCAGCATTTCTTTTGCTGGAGACTGCCCAGAGCATTTTACACTGGCGATCTCTGGCGATGCATCATTCTCATGACTCGGGTGAACAGACAGCGTCAAATCAGATTTACTTTTAGTCGTCTCTGTATCTCCTGCGCCGTTTATTTGGTCATTTTTCACATTGTCTATTGTGATATCAGCACAGGCATTTTCCACAGGTTCCTGCCAGGCATTGTTTTCACATGTGTCTACATTTGACTGACGTTCCATCTTTTTATATGCACTACAGTCACCGTCCTCATTATCAGTTGGAGTCCTCGGCTCTCCACGCTCCTGCTCTGAGATCTCCTGACTTGTTGGTCTCATTAACTCTTCACTCACATATGTATCACCCGTTTCATCTGCTTGCTTCATGTTGCTGATAATGCCAGAAGGATTACTCGGTTGTGTCTCTGGTGTCTCTAACTCTTGGATACTGACATCATTATCAGACTGAGCAGCAATATTTGTCTGTGAGCAGCAAATATTTGAATGAGGTTCAGAGACTTCAGTGGGGATGCTGGCTGCTGATTTGTCGGCTGGCTTCTCTTCTGTGATTTTCTCAAAAACTTGATGAAGTGAGTGAGTAGGTAACTCAGTGTCTTGAGCACAGGTTTGGACCTCATGGTGGCAGAGGCGTTGCTTCTCTTGAATGATAGAGTTTGGCCCATGACTGACACTTTGGTGCTCATCAGAACAAAAGGTATGTACTTCTCTTCGAATCTCAGATCCTTCATCTACATGGCTGGAGTCAGCATCCTTCTCACTGACTTTGTGTGAGCAGTCTGAAGGCTCACAGGCAGCCAGAGGTGGCTCAGTGTCCATGAAGTCAATGACCTGCTGTGTGTCGCACTTCCCAGTAGTCGTATCAGTCGTCGTCTGGGTCGGTATCTGAGTTTCTGGTCCTGTCTTTCCTCTTTCCTCCATTCCAACTGTCCCTTCTCCCTCTGCTCTATCTTTTGTTTCTGTTTCAGGCTGTTTGGTGTCCCGTACGTCCTCTGTTGACCGCTGGCTATCCTCTCGTCTGTCTGCTCTATCTGTTGTTTGGGTCATGAGTGTTCCTCTCTTTTCTCCAGCACTTCCTCCCTCCATCACATCTTCTCCTTCGACTTCTTCTCTATTCCACTGCTGCTCCTCATTTCTTTCCTCCTCTTCTTGGTTGTTTTTTCCTCGTTTCACATCATCTTTCCATCCCTGTTCCTTCTCCGTTGATGTTGATGTGTGGCTCACACAGCTACCTTTGCTCATCAGCAGATCATCATCAGACACAGAGGAAGCAGTCTGGATTAAATCTGAAACTACACCAGGATCACTCTCACTAGTGTTAGAGTTATTTATGTATTTATTTAATATGTTGCTGTCACTGCCGTCAGAGACATTACGGAGTATGAAATGGTTATTGTTGGTAAGTGGGTAGGTAAATGTTTTTGAGGGGTTTAGGGGCTGTTGGAACTGAGATTGTTGATGGTGGTTTGGCGTGTCTTGTCCTGAAAACAACACAGCGTACATATTCTGAGATAGTCTGAGTTGCTCAAATTGTACTGGTCATTAAATGCCATAGCTTCATAAATAAAAGTAAAATAATGTAAAAATGTGTCTTGTAGTCTGTCCATAGGTTACTTGTGTGTTCTGAGTAAAACGCTATGCTAAATGAAAAATAGGACATGTAATAAAATATGTTTATCTTCTGTATGTTTATATTTAGCTGGCTGACCTCCAGTTTCTCCAGTAGTAATTAGCCTAGTCACAGCTCCTGTCTCCTCCAGACAGTCTGGGTTTTTGGTCTGAGTGAAGGCCAAGTACTTCAGACCGCCAATGCTAGGTGACTCAGAGCTGGAGATGGGTTCATTAAGAGTTTCCTCTGCTCCTATTTCCTCCATTAAAGCGGGGAAGAGCTGGGTAGACACACTGTGGCTCTGACTGCTGTCTCTAATCTGTTGAGAGAAAAAATTAACATGCTTAGGATGCACAATTGCTTTTATTTCACCTTCACTCACACTGTAGTGCATGGATGGTGAATCACACTGGGCTGAGCTAGCTGTAGGAAGTGAAGGGAGTTTTCTCTGCCATTGCAACCTTTTACTTTGTTACCGATGTTTTTTATTTGCCGTTTCTATAATAGACTACACATGTTGGATGTCACTTTGTCCGGCTACATTTGCTTTTTTTTTTTTATACCAATTATTTCATTTCTAGATTAGTAAGATTACTGAGCAGGTGCTTCTTGTAGGAGTAGAAGGCAGATGGGACCTACATCTGCTTAGGGCCTACTGAACGTTAACATTTATCTTTAAATTAAAATAATAATAATAAAGCGAGGTTCAATAGGCCACAATTGAGGCACCACCTTTTCTTAATCTTAGCCAGGAAAAAACATAGGGCTACGTTCACACTGCAGGCATAAGAGACCCAAATTCAGTTTAGCTCATACCTGACTCCGATCGGTGCACTAAGGCTGGCAGTGTGGATGTAGCCAAAGCCCTGGGTGTTTTATATACAGTAGGCCACTGTACATGTGTCTCTGTCTGTGTCTGTACCTCCAAATCATATATATGCTGATCCTGCACTTTGGCCTGTGAGGACAGTTCAGTGTGTTTCTGATGAAGTTCATCATAGGCCTCTTTCACAGCTTGAACATCCAGCTGCTCACTCTTGATGCAATCTTGAAGCATTGCCTTCTGTTTAGTACACACATACAGAGAAGACAATATTTTCACTACTATTTTCAGCTTTACAATCTAACCTGACAAATGCTTTTGTTTTATAAAAATGTCACCATAACACTGCACTCTCTCACACTACAGTTTTTCTTCTACCTCTTTGTCCCAGTTGGTCTTGAAAGCAGCGTAGCTCTCCATCAGTAGGGCCACCTTGTCTTCCGCTGCCCTACTTTTCTTTCGCATCACCTCATGTTCCTGCTTAAGGGCCTGCAGTAAAATTAATCACCCATAGGATTTTTAATGCAATACTAAATTTTTATGTGTTTATTTAACGTGAACAGAAGGTCTTAAACAGGACAGGGAGAGAGAGGGCTTCTTGCTAATACAAATCAGTTGGCTTGTGTCATTTTAATAATGATTTTAATAAATTAATGAATAGGTGAATTAAAAGTGAGAAGGGGGTACAGAGAGAAGAAAAGAGAATAATAAACTGTAAAGCCATAAATGGAGAATAAACATACTATCATTCAGTTGCAGAGGGGACCGTATTCACTAATGTAAATGCTGTGATATACAACACCACATCCATCACATTTATGAGAAGAAACAATGGTCGTCATTTATTTCTGTCCTTGTGTAAATTTACTCCATAATCATTTAAATAGACCCTGGAAAATTCCTGATCTGTGTGGGATGTGTGTGTTGGTGGTGCAGTTTGAGCTGGAGAAATAAACCCCATTCTCAGATCCATTCTGATGTACATTTGCATCAGTTAAAGCATAAATGGTTGAATATGTGCATCCAGGAAAGAAGAAAAAGAGGGGAAGTCAAAAAGACCAACAAAGGTGACACCACAAAATTTAGCAAATTTCCCAAGAAGCTGTTATTTTAGCAATTGTTCTTTATCTTCATAATTCTCCTGTTTTATTCCCATCATACTAACTAATATTTATTTGCCCTTGAATTATAACCATCTAAACCTGAAATCATATTATTTCCAGTTTTAATCTGGATGTTTACACAATGGGGTGTTTTCCACGTGTCCTTTAGCTTTATCTGCCTTAAAAACACACTAAAAGATTATTCATAAATTATGTGTCTAAATTCCACATGAACTGGGAGGAGGGATTTTAGCATAATAGAATAATACTTTTCTGTCATTTTAGACAGTTGCATTACCTTTTTGCCTCTTCTTCATTATTGTTTTGTAAAAAGTTACAATTCTGCTTTATCATTTTTGATAAAATTACTTTTGACAGTAAATAGTGTGATGTACAAGGTCTGGTTTAACACTCCATGACTTTTCATGATTTAGTAAGAGTTTCACTATAGGTTATATTTCTATTCTTTTTGTTTTCGTTTGAGGTCCTTTTGAAATGTAATCTTAATTTATCTTAATTAAGTTAAAATCAAAATCTCAATTAAATTAAAATGTATTCTAAACTAACACATCAATCAAGACAGGACATCATGGTATACATCTGGGCTCAGTTGGTAAGAAACAAGAATTCAAATTTAGGGCAATTTAGGGCAAAAATGAGAGCAAGAATGTGCTAATGTACAGTATGTGCATACAATATGAAGAGTTATATCCATAAACCAGCAAAGGATGAAAGACTCTGACCTGGTACTGCTCTCTTTGTGTCTGCAGCTCCAGCTCTACTCTGCTTACTGTCTGTGTCTGACTCAACAGCAATTGCTGGGTATGCTGCAGAGACCTCATCACCTCCTATACAAAGATACATCCATACATACATGCCAAGCTTTATTTTTGGCCTATTTGCAATTTTAAATTTGCAAAAGTGACACATAGATTCTTCCAATGGAAGTAAAGACAACAAAGCATCCTCTGAAACAACCACATTCCTAAACTATCAGTGGAGATAGAGCATCAAGGTTACGGTAGTAATCACATGATTTCCTTCCTATTTTCTAGTTTCTCACCAGCTTTTCTGCTCTTAAAGCTACATTTTCCTCCCCGAGTTTCTTGCTCATTTCAGTTTCCTAAAGAATGTTAAAGAAATACAGAAAAATAATGCATTATTATGTGATTGAGATCCGCATTGACTCGTTTTGGGGCTAGCTAACAATTGTCATTTACCAGGTTCAGTTTCAAGTGCAGCTGCTGTATACGCTGCTCTCTGCCTGTAGGACTGTGGGTCTTATCATGTCTAACTGATGACATTTTGGCCTTGATCAGCTTGATACTGACTTCCTCCAGCTCCTGAGAAAGAACCATACATTCATCATCATTCGTCATTTCATCAGTACAAAATTACTCAAGTTGATTACGTCTGTGTAAATACTTACAATACTTTAGATATTATTTATTGGGTAAACCATAGAAATGTATTTATTTATTTATTTTTATTTATTTATTAACAAGTTCACAATGCCAACAGGTGCAAACCTCAGGTATTTTGTGTGATCCACTTAGATATATTAAGTAAAATGTGACGACATCTTGCCTCAAATCATTCCAAATGTTGAAGCACGTTTCCACAAACCTTCTTCAGTGAAACGATAGTTTCTTCTTGTTTTTCATTGGCAGAGATCAGTTTCTTATTTATTTTCATGGCCTCATCAACTGTGAGAAATGCACACGGTAAGACACCATTACACAGAATACTCAGCAAATAACATTAACAAAATAGAACTTCTATTCTGTGGTTTAACAGCATATATGTCATACTCACATTTGTCCTGACAACAACAGCAAGCTAATGCACTTCAACAGCATATACAGTACTGCATATGTTACTGTAGGCCTCCAGAAGCGCTGCTATCTACTATTGTCAACATTCATGACATGACATATACACTATGTAAACATAATATATTAAAACTGTCTCCCTTTTCAAGGAACATGTTGCTCCTCTATACTGTTTAAAAACATTATTCATTTAATATTAGACTGAACCATATGATGAGTAAGACACATAACTTGAAAGTTGGGATTTGGCACTACACCTTCTAAAGCTTACCATTAATATTGATAAAATCATCCACTCCAAGGTCCTCTCAGAACACACAGCAGCAGAAAATAATGCCTTTTTCCTCTATTGTCAGGTAAGCTACATTGGACATGAGGTTAATAGAAGTGGATGGCTGAAGAGCAGCAAAATGTCTCATTTAACAGCAGGATGCAGGATATTTGTTGTTAACAGCATGGACCAATCAAACCTGTCTTGCTGGTATTAATGTTATGGGAATGTTTTATTGGCTCATATAAAGCCCTGTGGTAGCAACACTAAACTTTGTTGCAGATCTCTTTATCAAAATACCCCAGAGGAGCATTTAAAGGGACATGACAGTGACCATTGCTCATTACCCAGATCTTGACCCCAAAACAATATCTTTGGGATGAAGTGAAACTGGATATTTGTAGGAAATAATGTGCTGCTGAAAATTCTGAAAGAGCTGAGTCATACCACTGTATCAAGTCAGCACGGACCAACATCCCTGTGAATTGTTTCCAGCACCTTGTTACATTCATACCCTAAAGAATTCAGGCTGTTCTGGAACAAAACAGGGCCCCTTCTGCTAAGTTCTAATAAATCGAACAGTGTATACTTTTTTTTTAGGCAAAGTACCTCCATAACACACACTGTATGTATGTAATGTACTATATGTATCCTGATCTGTATAGAATGATGTGTCTATCTTCAGGCAAATTATGTCTTTGCAGCACAGTTTTTAATTTGCAAACCTACAGACGTTAACAAAGGAATAACAGCTACGTATATATTTGTCTTTCTGTGTATGGATCCTCCTATCCACCTACGCATTACCATTCTGCTCTAGTTTCTCGTGGGCCTGCTTGACCATGGCACACTGCCTTGACAGAGCACTGAAACGTTTCTCAACCTCCCCCAGCTGGTTCAAGTGGCTGTCCTTTGACCTGCTCTGCAACGCTAGTTTCTGTTCCTGTGGAAGAGGTATAGTTAAAACAAACAAAGAAATGAGCGCCCTCTACAGAGAGAGAAATCCAAGACAAAACGTTGCCATAGCACTGGACGCTGTTTAACTCACATATCTGTGGAAGTACAGAGCAGAAACACTACAACACTACAAGCTTAGCTCCAGAAATGACTGAATGAATATATAGAGGAATGAAGATGAACTGTAAAACGTTTATTTTTGATAAAGCAGTTCAACCTTTTGGGAACTACATGTATTCACTTTGGTGTCATGTTGGTTTTTGTGTAGATTAAACAAACGTGATGTAACATGTAAATTAGCAAGCACTAGAGGTTCTGGTAGGCCATATTTGTTCTAACTTTAGACAGAGTCAAGTTAGCTTCAGTCTTTCTGTCAAGCTAAGCTAATTGGCTGTCAGCTCTAAGTCTGTACTCATTTTGTCAGACACAGAATACTACAGGGAGAAACAGCTGTCAAGTGATTCAGAGGATCATGGTTTAACACAGCTAGGGCCTTCTCTTTCTGCGGGATGAAGGAATCAACTCGGCGCATGCCTCAGAGCACTTTATCGCTCTTCAAACTGCCATTACAGTTTGATTGTCTGTATCAAGCTGAGCAAATTCTTTTCCTCTCTTTCATTTTCCCACTCACTCCCTTCACTCTCATTCTGACTCCCTCCTATCCCTCTCTTCAGTACACCAGCTCGCTTTGACTCCCTCTCACGCTGCTGAGCCACTGTTATGTGAAGAAGGTTAAACCGAGCGAGGCTCAGTTATAAAATATTTTAATAGAGATATTTTCTCTGCTGTGCTGGCAGTTCAAAGTGTCACACACTCCCTATCCGTTACTCCTGATGAGCTCTTCCCTCCAAACCCATCTCTCCTTAGCACCATTCCCTCATCCTCCTCTTTTAATTTTTCTCACTCCCACCCATCCTCTGTCAACAATTTGTACAAGTGGAAAATCCTTCCTTACCAGCTCGTTTGACTTCTTCTCCAAGTTGTACTTCAGCAGCTGCAAAACAGCAGTAAAAGAAAATCAACAAGACTCTGATGAGCAGGCCATTGTGAGTTACTGTGTGTGAATTTTAGGTTTTCCACCTTTCTTCCCAAGATCCAAAAAATGTAAACAATCAGAAGTTGCAATCAATGAAGATTTTCCGCACATTAACCCAGTATACCACATAATGCCCCATAGTTATACAACACAGCAGAACTGCCACTGAATTAAAGTGAGGCTGATTTGTTTGTCTGTTTCTAAGGTCAAGAATTAACTTTGAATCTCATCTTTTAAGCCAACATGAATTAAAGGTCCTTTAAGTTTTTTTTTTTTAACTTGGCAAATTCTGTCTAATGAAGAAGATTGTTTAATATGATTGAAAGCTCAACACAATTGTTTCACCATTGTTAACCTTTAGTAATATGGCAAACTGTAGACGATATCAGTTCAATTAAATATATAATTGATTATAATCTTTATGCAAATATTTTACATATTTAATAAAATGTGCTCCCTATTAATACAGGCTGCAACTAATCTGTTGATTTTTTTTTTTAAATTAAATTAATAAACTCATTATTTGGCCTATTGAATAGTGCTAAATGTCTGAGTGGAATCCTAAAATGTCATGCTTTGTGCAAACAGCCCATACATGATTTTCCAATGATTCAAAACAGAAAATTATTGAATCTTCACATACAAGAAAAGAGCTGTTTTTTATTTTTATTAAATGATTTAAACAATTAATTGAATATGAACATTGGTGCAGATTAATTTTCTGTAAGAGCTTTGTGATTATATTTTGTCACAAAGTTGTTTGTCAAGTGTGCACTGAAACCTTTACATGATAGGCCTCCCTGGATGTAATCAGATTTTGGGGATCATTTATTATCCAACCAGCACTTCATTAACCAGTATCAGTGGGGTTCTTATTCTCCAGACCACCAGGGGGGTCACCAGATAGCTTTTAAGGTGTATCAAGTTGATTTATGGTTTAGGGGGGAAAATAAATGTCCCTTTTTTTTTTTTTTTGTCAAATTGTTTGTTTTGTTTTTCTTCTTCATAAAATACTGAATCACCTCTTCTAATGATTAAATAAAATAAAGCAACAAAAAAGTAATATTCCTATGGATATTCATAAAAGAACTGCTGTGATGAATTATTTAGATTTAATTATGTATTAATTGAACCGCACTGTTCCAATGGAGCTCAAATTTGTAATTTAGCAGATCGTCAAGGTACGGCAATTAAATCACTTCAGTCCCAACTGCCACTGATGTGAAAATGTGTAAATTAAAGGAATCCACCAGACCGTGTCCCAAGAATGAACACAACTGGGCCTCGCTTTAGCAAAACACGGCAGTCAGTGTCTGCCAGATAGAATATCAAAAGCAGTCTCTATTGTCTCTGTAACACGGCTGGGGTGTTAAAGTGCAGTGGACCGTGGGGATGGCCGTATATCACCTCTGTGGTGTCAAGCTTGAAGACGAACACTCTGGGAGTCAGACTGAATCAGGCCTATGTACCAACACCCTACGCCCTTGACTCTGGTCAGACATTAGCTTTCTTTATTTACCTATCTCTTTGGACAGTTTAATAGTCAAATGTCTTTTTCTGAGTTGAAAGAAAGAAAAAAGAAAGAAAGAAAGAAAGAAAGAAAGAACGGTGATGGGATGAGTGGGAGTGCTGGTGTGTGTGTGAGAAAGACAGATGAAGAGAAGAGGCTGTGAGTGTTGCACATCTCAGTACCTGTAGCGACTTCAGCTCTTCTTTCAGGTTTTTAATCTCCTTCTCTTTTAACTCAGCACTGACCTGGTATTTCCCCTAAAATGTTAGATTATTATCGTGGGTGTCAAAAAAGCAATAAATACCAAAGCACAGCACAAAAGAATCCACTCCAAGGGCCAAGATTGTGCAACTGAGATGAGTGAATTTACTACTCCACTAAAAACATTAATTGAATAAAATGCTCAGAGTATCACGTTGATGTTCTTTGGAATACACTCTTCATACCTTCTCCTCCTCAATGTTTCTTATTTTGGCCTGAAACTTGAGATAGGAAAAGAAAAGGTTTTAATGCACTGTTAAAAGTCTTTGTTTAGATATAAAAACTGTAACCATACAGTAAAAACATACCTGCTTCTTAACATTGATGAGTGACTCTGTGTGTTGGTTTGCCACTGTTTCAGTTTGATGTTGTAGTGTTCCCTGTCATACAGGAAAAGACAAAATCAATCAAAACAAAAATATAAAATTTAACAAATAAATTAATATATAAGTACCCATGATATTTTGCCAAAATCTAAATATTGAAGATGTTGTAAAGCCAGCTAGGCTCGGCCGTACCTTCTCCCACTCCAGCTCCTGTTTCTCCAACACCAGTTTACTGATCTGATCCTCAAAGCGTGTCTCTGCATCCTGAACCATGGAAAGGCATCATTTACACAAAAGCTGATGATCAACCATCCTGCCTAAGACTAATCATACATACTGAGTAAGAAGTAAGTTCTTTGTTCTGTGGGCAAATAACTCTCTGGAGTTGAGCCAGACACTCCAAACTGCAGTAAGTTTCTCTGGTTCATTCCTCCGTATCTTTTGCAGATGCACACAGAGAAAGAGGAACATTAGAAGGGAGGTGATATTTGTGGAAAGCCATCCCTATCCTCCCTCTTCCCCCGTAGAAGGCAGGTAAAAGTCAATTGCTCTCTATATCCATGGGACTTTTTTATGTGCACGTGGGAGCTGGTTAACTCACTGAGTTTATTTTATAAGTTCCTATTAAACTATGCTACCAGCGTGGCACTGCACTTAAAATAAAGGAGTGCACAGGAGATAAAGCTGTTATTTTTCACTTGTGTGAGTGCATATGTGTTTAAAAAGACACTAGAAAGCTTTATTAAACCTGGTAATCCATGTAAATCACAATAGGCAGATTAACTTAGAGCTGAGGGTACTAAAACATTTTAATTTATATTTTGCTAAACAATATCTCATAATATATGATTTTACTTAATTGAAAATTCATGACTGTTAACATTATATATTTGCCATGGCTTTTCATCTCTTTATTGTTTTATTGCTGTCCTGAATGGATGGTTTTTACTGTGCGTTAAAAAAAGAGAAAAAAAGTATCTGGGCATAAAAAAGTGATTATTATTATTATTTATTAGCTTAGTCGGAAGAAGTTAAGACATAGTTTAGCCTTTAGCTATTGTGATAAGTCACAATGTGTCCTCATATGCACTCACCTTTACAAACATATTTTTCTACATGTAATGCTTTCCCATTTAGTTTTAAGTCCAGCAGTATACCACATTCTGAACAACTAAAGCAGTGGGTTGTACTGTATTAAAAAACAAAAACAAACCCATTGGAATTTGACCTGCTCAGGAATGTCCGGCACCATCATGACATCCTCTCGCTTCTCAACCTCTCCACCCCACGAACGACATAGCTACAAAGTGCTACTTTGATAGCAGCAGCGCCTGAGGAGGATCAGACTGATATTCCATCTGATGTTTGTGTCCCAGTTAACATGACAATCACAATAAAAACGAAATGGCAACAAATGACCGACATCCCATTTTTGCTCCCCTAACCTTTAAGCACACTCAGAATGTGTTGTCAGGTTGAAAGTACTTGCTGGAGGGTAGAAAGCATGATTCTTTTTTGTTACTTTTACAAACAAATCTCCTTTCTACTTATTGGTCAGGGGCCAAATGGCTTCTGTGACCTCCATCTTGACGCAATGTGCATCGCATCTTGCTGGCTTTTGTCCAGATGGCCAAAAGGGGCAGCTGGTTTCCTCTAAGGACATATAATACCATCTCCCCTACTATTTCTATTAAATGACACTGCTCGTTAGCCAAACAGAGCCATTAGTGTCTAAGACGCAAAGGAACAGAGGAAGTAAGCAATGCTCAAAACAATACACATATTTTGTCATTTGTTTTAGAACTACTCTGTAAATAATCTTAAGTTGGTTCAATTTAAAAACATATTATCCCCTGCTGACTTAAAAACATGAGTAGTTAACTTGTGTTGAATAATTAGTTCAAAGTCATGTTAGGAGTTTTGAAAACCAACTAAGTCAACTGAACTTGAGAAAACAAAACTAAATTAAGATATTAAGTTAAATCACGCTGAAAAATGTTAGAGTAAGATCTGCTTTTTGTTTACATTTTCTTGGTTTGAAAAGTCAGTTCTTCATTTGACACAAAGAGCTTACGATTACAGATGTTCCAGCTGAAGCCACTTTGTACCAGTTAGTACAAAGACAATAACGCAAGGCTGCAAGAGACTTTATTAAATTAGAAGTGTACGTAAGGGGTAGGGCTTGGAATTCAATACTAACCTTCAACATGGTTTGCACCGTTTTTATGATTACAGAAAGAAACAACCATAACTTAATTTATGTCTCTAAAAATTATTCAAATAAAACAAGCAAAAGCAGTTTTTGGGTGAACTGGTCACAGTCAGTGGAAATATACAACCTGTGATGATGGGCCACACTGCATCATTTTAAGGGATTACAAGCTACAATGGTTGGGATTATCATAATAAAAGACCCTGCATAAAAAAAGCCAAACACCTGCTGGTTTTCCAATTAGGTACAAACATCAGAAACCTGGACCGCTGTGTGTTAAGCAGACTGTGGCAATGTGCTTTCACAGTAATAGTACTTGAACCAATACTGCATTATGGTTCTGGAGCTGACGCCAAATGTTACAATTGCTACTATACCCTTCGAATATGGAGCTCCTCCACAGCTTCAAGTAGATGAGTTTTAAATTCCAACAACTGTAGTAAGATAGTGCCTCCACTTTCTGTCTGACAGCGAGTGCTGGACAGAGACAGCTCCTGCTCCATCGCAGGTTCTCCTACCTGCATAAGAAAAATAAAAGCTTCTAACGTAGCTACTCAAATATTTAAGCCATCCAAAGGAAATACATCAGTTTAGCATTTGAAGATACAAAAAATATGGCTATATGCTGAGGCTGTAGGACACATTCAAGGTCAAAGCCATTTCCTCCTGCATCCAATAAGAAAGAGTGAAAAGCCTAAAGTTAACCAAAAGCAGACAGTTAAACATCTTTATTGAGTCATTCATCGGCATATCAACTGCAAGTGTCCTGCAGCTTTTAATTAATATAAAGAAAATGTGTTTTGTTTCTGAGAATAAAACTGAAATGAGTACAATACCCAGTAATAATTTATAGCAAAACTTGTTTTAAATCTTAAAATAAATAAAGAAATCAGCAGATGTTCCTTTCTTTCTCTTCTACTGTCAGAAGTTGTAACTTACAGTGTGGTGGGTGGGGAGTGTCCCTGAGTCTGCACTAAGATCCATAGAGTTGTTTCAGTTCAGGCCAAGGTCCCACTGGGCCTCTGCCGCCTGTTAATCATGAAGAAAAAAAACATTTTGTTGAAAAAGGTTAATAGAATTGGCTGTTTAATAAGCAGTAACACTCAGCTTTTCCACTTATACGCTTATAATTACTTCCTCATCTGCAATTTTTACTGCTAAATGATTTTATTAGAAATAATAGGCTAGCACATTAAAGCCTCGTAATGTTTCTCAATCACAACAATCTAACCTAATGGCTTTGAAATGACCATTAGGGTTTTTTCTTTCTTTGTTTTACACCACTTCCATCGCAGTGAGAAGATAACACCTTGATAAGCCATCTAGGTCCAAATGAACCAGCCCATTGACACTAATAGGGGTCATAGCAATAACACTGAATGGACAAATTGCGCTGTCAATGCTTTTTAAATTATCTAGGTTATTTAATTTGACCTGTGGATGGTCCTCTGCAACTGTCTCTGTCCCCTCAACATAACCAAGATACTGAGTGACACACACACTGCATACACGCAAACACACACCTACAGAAAATATGACTATTTAAGTGGGAGGTCTCCACTAGCCACTGATCTCTTAATAGAACAGACCTTTTTTCTCCCATTTAACCTGCACCGCTATCAATCATGTTGGAGAATTAAATGATCCCTGCTAGAATTGGCTACTATCATAAAATGACAGTGTGACCCCAGGCTGAGGAGGGAGGGGATGTGGAAACGTGTGTTAGTGTGTCAAAGTGATAGTGTACGTGTGTCTCATGTGCACACCGTGAATGTGTATGTGACTGTGAGTGAGGGAGGAGACCACAATGTCTTTATTTGCTTCTCCTGTGATTCACTTGAGCAGGTATTAACCACCATCTCTAAGCCATGAAAAAGACAAATTAAAATAACTGCCATCCATTAAATGGGAACATTTCTATCAAGCACCGTGGTGTCTGTATTACCTTTGGCTGAGTTATGTTAGTTACTGCTCCGTAATGCACTGAGGAAAAGAAAGTTAAACCATAGCCCTGAGATTGTAATACAAGTAATCACAGTTTAGCTAACAGCCATACAATAACTAAAGTACTGCAATAGTAGTGTAAAGGTGTACTGCAACTGGCCTTATTCACTTTAGACATTTAGACGTGTTACAGTAGGAAAAGCACTGGTGTAAAATGTAAAAGCTGAATTTAATTTAGCTGCTTCAGTTATTCAAGTATTGTCCATGCTGTCTCACTGTCACACTAGCGTTAATGTTATTAGTAACACGTCTGCTTTCTCTACTATGACAAGTCCAAATGTCTGCCACAGTACAAAACAAAGTTATCCATATTCTCTATCTACTACTACTGCTCCATTCCCAGACCCTGTGGCAGCTAAAGGCAAGCTCTTTAGAAATGTATTTAAAAAGGGGAAAGTGTGTTTTTTAGGCACATCATCTGGTAAATTAACTTAAAGCTGCAATATTATTTTAATATTGTTTGAGTTACATATTTTACTCCATCAGGTAAAGTTACTCTTCAGACAGTCTCCAGATTTTTTGGGGGGATTTTCCAGCTTTATTTTTTTCATGTTAAGTGGCAATTAACAGTTTTAAATAATAAAGGCCCGTTTTTAGGCAGAATAGACCTTTTCACAGCAGCCGTTTTTAAATGAAAGGCAGGTGTTAGCAGTGACAGTAACTGAGGTACTGTTGCATTCAGCGGAGTGCTGCTGTTGTGGTGGCTGGTTTACAGTCACTGTTACTGGGACACTTACTGAGCCATTGATACCCTAACCCCAGTCAAACTGTACAACTGCTCTCTCATGTTACCCTTTTACATTTGACTTAAATCAACTAAAGTATGACTGAAATTACAGAAAACTTGATTCAAATCCAATTTATTATTGGAATTAACACCAGACTTAAACATTTGTCAAAACTTTAACCTAAAGCTAAACCAAAAGCTAGCTAACCTAGAAATGTTAGCTAGCATGACTCTTCAGTTTTCTAACAGAAACCAAAGAAATAATTTAATTAATTCATTTGAACATATGTTGTCTTCAAATTCACGACGCTGGGAATTAAACTGTTTGTTGTTTGAAGTTGTTGATATTACTACATTACCTTTAGCAGCGAGTGAACAATATGAAGCCAGCCGCTTGGCCACAGCGCCCTCGGGATGTCTTATGGTCAGACAACCGTAGAGGTTGGCAGAGGACACCGTTGTTCAACAGATTGACATTAAGATTACAATTAATATTATAGATATTAATATATGACGACCGAAGGACACGCATCCTCAGCAGCCTGAAACAGGAAATGTCAGATTTGACATACATCGCTCCCAACACAAAATCAATAAATGCTGATGCTGAGATTCTTATTTGCAAATAGAAAATATGGTTTAGACTTTTTTTTATTTGTTTATTGGCATCAAGAGATTGTGCATCATCTGAAGGCAGCATTAAGGACTGACTGTCGAGTAGTGGCTAATATTCTGTGCTCACAGGATTAGTTTTCAGCACTATGAATACAAGTGAACACAGACAGAACAACATACAATGTAAGTTAAACTTCTGTCAGTGGGTTCAGTGTGGATAAGTAATCGGTGCCATCTAGCGGCTGAGTTTTAAAATTGCAGCTATACTGAAGGCGCATGGCCGCGGTGTGTCTCTCTGGTGTCTGCCCGCCTGTTGTCAACTACAGAAGCGCTTACTCAACCGCTTTCCCTTCCCTCGGTACACATGGCCTCAATAAAAGAAAGAGCCGCGGCGCTGAACCTTGCAGAAAAGTTGTGTGTGCGTCCTCAAGGTAAGCTCATCAAACCTGGGGTTGGGGATTTGTGCAGCTCACGGAGGCCTGTTCATGTGCCCGACGAGTTTATTTCCCTCCTGGCCTACTATAATTAACTATCTAGTACTAACTAGCTCTCAAATAGTTGTTGTGGTCAACCCTCACTGGTTAACAACCAACCCCAAATCACTGCTGCTGACTTTAGTTAGTTATACTTCAGTTTTCCTCAGCCGGTCCTTCATATTCCTCCACCAGCCTTTCTTCTTCCCATAGCTTTGTCATTTCTCAGATTGTCCTACACACCCTCCTGTTTATCTGCTCTCCAACCTTGCACAGTTAATTAGTGAAATATGATTCAGTCCCTTTGATTTTCTCGGCCTTTGTCTTAGCACATGGAGTGGCCAGTAAGCCAGTGCAGTCTTCATCCATGTGGAGTGGCCTCATCTCCCACCTCAGGTCCTCTGTGAAAGTGAAGCGTAGACGGGTCCACCTCAAGTCTCACAGCGACTGCTTCCTGGGCTCAGAGGCTGTTGATGTGGTGGCAGAACACATAAATCATGTCAAAGGCTTTGAAGGTGGGTGTGTGTGCTGGGCAGTGGATTTTATATATGGTAGCATTCACATTTTACATATACAATTGGCCACATTGCAAAATTGTTATGGCCCATACACTCAACACCCAACTACATCAATACATTACGGTCCACATGTGGGCCAGATCTGGAAGCCACTTACATCCCATGACATAGCCATATCTCAGCCAACTGTACGACCATAGCTGCCCTGTTCTGGCCCTGTGTTGGACAAGACAGGTTTCAGTGTTCAGTTCTAGTGTTTACTGGCCAAACTACATGTCTACGCATTACTACACATACAGTGCTGACTGGGGAGGAGAGGAATGTGATGTGAAAAATCAATAATATTTGTGGATAATACTGTCATGAAGTGTCTGTATTAAAGAATTAATGAATTAATTAATGTCTTGGTTAAGGCATAGTCAATATCTGGAGCCACTGCTGAAACCTCTCTGGTCCAACACAGGACCAGAACAGGGCCATCTATGGTTATACAGTTGGCTGAGATGTTGCATGGGCTGTAATTTTATTTATGAAAGAAAAATAAAAACATTTCCATTTGATTATAATTTAAGGTGCCAGCGTGTCACGGGACAAAGTGGTGTGTGTGTGCCAGGCTCTGTTGGACTGCAATATGTTTGAGGCAGTGGGAACCAACGTATTTGGCAAACACAAGCAGCAGGATGTGTTTCAGGACAGCAAGAGTGCTCTTTACAGGTTAGCTCACACACACACACACACACACACACACACACACACACACACACAACTCCTAAAGTCATTTTTACTTTCTGACACAGTCAAAATGTTGTACCCACAATGTCTGTGAATGTGTTTGCCTTTTTTACACGCAGGTTTGTAGGCGTGTGTACTCCTTCGATCGATGAGTTGGAAAGTGGTGCGCTTGTGAATGGGATCCAAAAACTCTTCTGCGGCACTCCTACACACAGGTATTAAAGGTCCAGTGTGTAACATTTAGGAGGCTCTTTTGGCGGAAATGGAATATAATATTCATATGTATGACTATGTTTTCATTGGTGTATAATCACCTGAATATAAGAATGGTTGTGTCTCTGTTTTGCTTTCCAGCCAGGAAGAGCAGACATGTCCCACTGGGTCACGTGTTCAGATGTCCACCCCTGTCAGATTTACTCAGACACCCATAAAGGCCAACCAGCTGGACATTGCTGCCCCTGCCAGCCTGTCAGTGGAGCCTCTGGTGGACAGTCTGTCTCTGAGTCCCAGCAGAGTGCAGTCTGACACTGTTTTACCACAATCCTGTAAGACACTAATGTCCCCATGTGTGTATTTCATCCTGTTGTGCCTTTTCCTTTGTTGAAGCACAGATTTAGGGGGGGGGGCTTCACTTTAGCAAAGCACTGACCACATCACATTTCCTAGTTACACTCAAACCTTTCCCAGACATTATTATTTTAGGCTGATAAGGTGAAAAAGTGTTATTATTTTTAAACCAAAGACTAAAAAGTGAGGAGATAATGGGCAGAAACTAATACATTTATTTAAAAAAGCCTTACTTTGTACAGTAATTATTTGCCGCACTCCACTCCCCAGTGGTAGACGAGGTGTGGCAGGAGCAGACTCTGCTCAGGCTCTTAAACCTGGTGGAGCTCTCCCTGCTGGAAGGGGTGCTTCAGTGCAGCCAGACCCCATCCTCTCCTCTTCCATCAAACCTGCTGGCCCACAGTAACCCAGACCTGATCTACAGCAGCAACCACCTGGACAGGCAGATCCTCAAGGCCTTCAGGGACTCTCAGTACGTTCTGACTGTTGAGTTAATCTTACTTAACACCTGTAAGCACCTTAAGATGCAGATGTGACTGCATATTTGAATGTTATGTACTCGTGCTACCCCAGATGGTAACAGTGAATGCCAGTTGCATCTAAACATATTAGATTAAATAAGTGTGCCTGCATTCCATATTATCAGTTCTTTTAACATTCAAAATAATACACAGAAAATCTCAATTATTGCCTCAAATGAAAGTAAAGGAGAATATCAAAGAATTGTTCAACATCATAGCCGTAGGTTGCCTACAGTTCAGACTTGAGAGTGGCATCAGTCTTCTTAATTCTAATGAAAAATGTTTTGCTCTTTATCCCTCAGGGAAGATGAGTGGCTCTGTGCAGCTCTGGACTGTCTGGACTTCGTCCCTGATCAGCCAGTGGTGGAGCTGAGCAGGGAGCTGCCTCAGTGTGCCCTGCGAGATCAGGACAGCTGTGAGCAAGTGCCAGCTGCTAGCAGTACACAGGATGGAGGCAAGTGCCCCCTATCAGAATAGGGGGGTTGGTCCTATAAATACAACATGTGTGTGCTTTTATACTTTCTCCTTAAATGCTGTGTGACAGATTTGTATTGAAAGCATGCAGCTGTCACTGTTAACAATATTACAATATACTTTTCCATTTCTGTATTTCAGTCAACAACAGTGACGAGCAACCTCGTCTCTCCCAGAGTGGTTTGTCCCAGTGTAAGCTGCTGCTGTACGGGACCCTGGTGAAGCACTACAGCCACACAGACAGGCCTCCCCTGCTGCCCCAGCACATGACCGACATCTACACTGCCATCACTGACCTGCTGGGTAAGAGCTAGGATAGTGATTGTTGGAAACTGTGATTTCCTAAATGAGAAGTTGATTTTGGTCACTTACTTAGATTTACACTACATTATTATAAGTGCACCAGGAGTTGTAACCAAGCCAGTTTCTCTAACCTGTTTCCAGTATCACTTACATTTGTGTCTTTCCTGCCTTCCCAGTGAATGCTAAGTTGGGCACGGCTCTTGAGGCTCTGCAGCTGTGTCTGAAGCTGCTGCCTCCTGCCTGCAGAGACGAGCTGCGCAGGCTGCTGACATTCATGGCTGTGGCAGGTGACCCGCAGAGGATAAGATTGGACAAGGAGGTAAGAGCCAGCGACTGAATCATATATTGGATAATGCATTTTTAACTTTTTAACCCTCATCTGCTAGAGCTGGCGCCCCATGTACCAAGGCTGAGTCCTTGCTGCAGTGGCCATGGATTCGACTCCAACCCGTGGCCCTTTGCTTTCATTTTTCAGCTGTCACTATGGATTAAAGGCAATAAAAATCCCAAAACAATATTTTTTTTTAAAAAGAGGGCCTACAAAGCTGTACCACCCGTTTTGTTTTTTTTTTGTTTTATTTCCTGTAGTTTGATATTAAAGATGTTGATGCTGTTGAACCTTTAGATGGAGAACAGACTGGCTGTGAAGAAATCTTTCTCTAGAGCAATCCTCCACAACAAGGCTCTGTCAAAGGAGAAAGAGGACCTTATGGTGGTCTTCATCCTCAGCAACATGAAGGAAATTTTTAAGGTAAGGGAATGCTGTCAGAATACATTATACATCTCCTCTCCTTGGGTCTTTACCTTGACTCACAATACTATAATTATTACCATGTTTACCATATTAGCATGCTAATGTAAGATTAGATTTATTTTTGTGAAGATTTATTTTGTAGATTTTTTTTTTCTCTTTGGCTCAGTGATATGAGGTAAAGTAGTGAGGTAATGCATCACTTTTACTTTTAGCATTTAGCTTGTTTTTGCTCATAAAACTTAAAATATAATGCTTTATTCACCATCTTGCCTTCATTGTGGTGTAATTTGAATGTGATTTTCATCACACACTCCCTGCATGTGTAACAAAACTTCCTGTGAATTTGTGGCCCGAGCCCAAGCTTAGGTAACCCTGGTGACATCATGGGGTTGTCAAACTTGACAAAGCTCTTCCAGAGCCACAGAAGACACAATACAATATAAGTAGTACTCCCTACACCTACTAAGATGGCCTAAAGCTGTATTCTAATTACATTTAGGCTGTTAATCAAAATCTAAAATCTGGAACTCTTCCTCAGTCTGCAATCCAGAGCCTGGCCCCAACAATTTGTTACCAAAATGTCAACCCAGAATTGATTTCACTGGTTTGAGGCTGACTTTGTCTGAAGTTGTTTGTTTGAGCTTTGACATTCAGTGGTGCTATAACACATTGTTGTGTAAACAAATTGCTCAAATTGAGTTGCAAAATATAGTTCATAAAATGCTGTAACAAACATTTGTGTAAGGGTTTCATTGAAAGGGATAAGTGAGAAGTTGAATTGAAAAGAGTGCCAATTTTTTTTAAGGTGTAATTTAATCGACAAACCATTTTCTGCCATTCCTTTGCCACCAAGACTTTGTTCTCTTTGCTCCAGATACCAGGGGCTCTGCACAAAGGAGTGAGTGACAAGCTGGCCAGCCTCATACAGGGGAAGCAGCCCGATGTGACTGGTAAATGACTGTTCATGAGTGTTAATGCAACACAAAACACTTCAATAATAGACAGGTTTAAATAATGACTCTCACAGTCTTTTTTTATGCCCTTTATTTGATAGGACAGTTGAATCAGCTCATTGTTTTGGTTTTGCGGCCCACAACTTTATGGTTCTGGTTCACTCTCACCACTGTTTCAACCTCACATAAGCTCTGATAAACCCACAGTGCACCACCTGCCCAATACCAAACTGCAGATATAGCAACTAGCTGCTTTATCAACCGGATATCCCTCAGGAGTTGGTAAAGTGGATATTGAATATACATTTGTCAGGTGAACTCTAATTGAATTTAAGATTTCCTCATTTTCTGCTGGATGTATAAGTTGGCATTTGCTTGCTAACACATTTCCCTTAACAATTTTACAAGGTAATCTCAGTGTTGGGCTTGAAGCTGCAGTAGGTTTTTTTTTTTTTGTTCTTGTTGTCATATTTGCCAAAACTTGCACCATATCCTGACAGTAGAACATGAGATCAGATAATCTGTAAAAAAAAAAAAAATAAAAAAGGTTCTTCTGGCTTCTCCTAGTGCTCCTAATGGTATTTATAAGAATCCACCGGGCCTAAATGAAAACAACCAATCAGAGCCAAGAAAGAAAGTTGATTGTTGGTTCTCATTCCCAGGGCATCAAGACACTTTGTGTCTTTAATGTTCTACTTTATGTTCTACTGTCAGAATAAAGTAAAAAGTTCAGCAATAATGACAAATGATTATTTTTATAAAAGTTACATACAGCAGCTTTAACATCCAGTTGTTGCTAGTCTTGTCAGTGTTCGTTCGTGGTTATGACAAAGAGAGTTCCCTCAACACTAAGTTTTTCTCTTCTGTCCTTCAGGCTCCACGTTCTGTCAGCAGGTCTCCAGCAGGACTTACACTGACTCTACAAAGAAGACCACCAACCAGGAACTGTGGGTTCTGCTAAACAGCATCCACCTGGACAACAAGATCTCTGCCAAGGAGAGAAAGCGCTTACTCAGACAGTTCTACCAAGCCCACCCAGAGATATTTAACCAGTATTTTGGTGAATCTGCTGCTGGTATGCTGTAGATTTGTGAAGACAATGACATAGGCACAAAGCCTCTCTGTTGTCTTCTTCAGTCAGTTTCACCAGTAGCTACTTTTTGCCTTTTACATGAATTGGTTTATTGTAGTAAGATTTATTTTAAGTCACTACAATTTTTTGTGCCTGACAGTAAATCTCAGTGGAGATTTAAAGATATATATGGCAGATACCTCCAGCATATGATTACACTTTGTAATTGAACAAAATAAATAAACAGTTGGTCTATTCTTGGCTGTGTTTTTCAATACATACGAATTCATTAGACTTAGAATATAAATATAGTATTCTTATGATTGAGCTTAAACATGTGAGGGTTAATGCAAAACAAGTGGAATAATGAAACAAAAATTGAGAAATGGTCGAAAGGCTATAAATATTTTATGTGCAACATTTTTTATTTTCCGCATATGTGACTCAGATCTGTTTTTTACGACAGTGTGAACCTAACAAATAATGTCAGCCAAACGAAAAAAAACCCTGATCTGAGCAAAAAAAATCTGAATTGAGCACTTAGGAATTCAGTGTGAATGTAGCCTTTGTCATTTAATTAATTGGTGTAGAGAGGTTTGAAAAACATGGAGTGATCGACTTGGTTACAGTAAAAGTCATTTTGCATGATATATTATGACAGTTCCTTCTACTGAATTCTCAGACATATTTTTGACAAATGTAACTTTGAAGGCCACATTGCTAAAACAAATGTTGGTAATTTGAAAATCCAGCTCACTCGAATCACAACTAAATTAAATTTGAATTGGACATGAATCTTTAGATCGACAATTTCAGAAATACTCTTGTAGATATAAATGTTTGGAACATTTGCAAACTGCACAAGATTTATTAAACATGATGAAACATGATGAAACATGATTTATTAAACCCAAGTAATTTAAAAATACATTACAAATCTCCAAATAGGTTTACTGGTAATTTTAATTTCACTACCAGTAAGATTGCAGGAGAGGTTTTTTTGTGTGGAAATGTTGAGGTGCCATCTCATCAGCATGCCAAATCTCATATATGATTACAATCTCCTGATTATGAGAAAAAAATGTTTTTTTAAATGTTGCTATGCATGTTGCCTATATGGATGGAATAACATTACAGATCCACATTTTGATGTGGTGTCATAATCTTAATGTGAACATAAGCAAGAACAAGAACATTTTAAAATGGCACTTCATTTCAAATAGTTTGCTGACCCCCTGGTGTAGTTGTTTTTTTGTTGTTGCCAAATTTGGTGATAAAAATCCTAACTAATTCAAAATGTTGATAAGATAAATAGTGACCCGAAGGAATATGGGGAAAATCAGTTTGTTTCTAGAGTGTACAATAGACCTTTTTCACAGCAGACATTTTGTCAAGAAATAGTAGGGTAAACACAGGTGTTACCAGTGATACCAATTAAGGTTCAGTTCCATTTAGTGTAGCAGAGAGTTTCCACTGAGCCCACATACACAACAGCACCCTGACTCTGTTTGACCTAAATGGAACAGAGCCTTAATGAGTATCAGTGATAACACCTGAGTTTACACTATTTCATGACAAAATGTCTGATGTGAAAAAAGCCTGTTCAGAAGTTACTGAGCAGACTTGCAGGTATAGCGCCGCCACGCGGTCAGTCGGTTGCTGTAGTGTGTGTGTTATTTGGGAGTGCCTCAAGGTGGTGGGCCTGGTTGCTGTAGATGTTGTAGTGTAGACATTTAACACCACTAGATGAATAAAGGGACCATAGTCTCATCAGATTCCCAGTGATTCCCAGTGATTCCCTTTCTAGAAACCTTCTGCTCTGTAATGATGAGAAATGTGTTTATTGTGCGTGCGTGCGTGCGTGCGTGCGGGAGAGGGCTCGACTGTTACGTCATGTTAGCCCCACCCAATACCGGAAGAGCCGCTCGGTTGTGGAGAGAGGAGGGCTGCGTCGTTAATAGGCTCGAGTTGGACGAAACAAAGCGGTCCCCCGGTGGAAGACGGTGTCTGGCAGTGGCGCAGCTGGAAATAAAGTCTGTGAGAGTCATTATTCCGCTGTGGCTGCTTTATGAAGGAGTAGCTGCGTCACAAGGCTTTGTTGTTGTTGTTGTTGTTGACAGAGAGTCGGTGTTCACGCTGGCTAAAGCTAACAGTAGCTTGATAAGTTGAGCTACCCAGCTAACCCATCTCTTTCCCCGGGGCTGCCGGCTACAAGGTGAGTAACGTTACCGCAGAGGAGACTGTAACGACGGCCACGGTACCATGCGGCTTTGTTCTGTTTACCACCTCAGTCAGATGGCGTCTCACTGACTCCTCTCCCCCTCCCCTGCTAGTGTAGGTGATGTCACCATCTGTAGATCACAACAACACACCTGCATCTCTCCTTCTGCTTGTCCTGTAACATGAAATCCGTCACATTACAAATACACTCATAGAAATACCGAGCTAGAAAAATCCCTGCTGCTGCTACATGTAACACATATGTCACATGTGTTGTGATCACTGGACATTTTACTGACTTTACTTTACAGCTTTTGAAATAACTTGAGATTGCAACCTGAAACATCAAACACTATCTGTCACCTTGCAGACCTTAGCATGCCAAAGGAGGCAGACCACCTTGAGGGTGAAGCAGACAAGGGGTCGAAGGAGGAGAGGACGCAGGATGCTTCTGAGGAGACGGGGAGGAAGAGGGTCCGGGCGAATACTCCGAGCCCGCACAGAGGGAACACTCCTCAAGGTGAGAAATGGGTTGATTTTCAGGGGGGCGGGGGGAGACTCCAGCTACACAGAGAAACAGATCTGATTAAAGACAGGGACCTTGTCCTATATCTATATCTCAACTGAGTAAGGGAATAAACACTTCAAGAGGAAGTCCTCTCAGATGAAAATATTCATTTAGGTTTCCATGGATTTGGACGGGGGCCAGCAACCTCAGATTTCCAGTTTAAAAATGTCTTTTTATCCTCTTGAGTAAGTAAAAAGCATACACTCAACCACAATTTATACATGCAGATGATAATATACAGATCGATAATACATTTAGAGGGGCTTCTTCCCTTTGCTGAGCTCTGTTTGGACATACTCAACCATTTGGAGGTTTATGCGTCAGCACTGAGAAAGCCAGAACACCTGCTCATAGAGTTGTCAAGGCGACCAGCATCCTGGATACACAGGACAGTACTAATGTTGGACAGCTGTGGGGCAGGACATCCAAAGCAAGCTGCTGTTGCTACTGGCCTCTGTTGCTGCTGTGCAAAGCTTTCAAGTTCTTTATTTCATTTGGGATCCAGTCTGCTCCCTATCACGTACTGAAACTTCACAGCTCAGTCCCTCAGTCTCTCCTCAGCAGTTCTTTATTAGCACAAACATGCGGACTTGGACGTGATAACAAACAATCCTCCTGTTGTACGGAGGGGAAGATTAATGTTCTCGTGAGGGAAAGCACCAGCCTCACAAGCATGTTCCTTCAGGCGGTGGCAAATAAACTGTTCCTATCTGAAGTGCTCGCCTGTCTTAACTCTTCAACAACTCAGCTCCTCTAATTCTCATCTGTTCGTCACGTAAGCAGGGTTCACCCCAGCCTGACGTGGTTGCGGTAATGTGTACAACTAAAGATTATCAGCACCGCAGTTTGCTTTCCTTGAAATATTCACTATGAGTAAATGGCATTTTGCTTTTTATAGTAAAGTGATTATTAGTGTCAGTTGCATCATTTCTAGCAGTTTGATTTGTTTAATGGGCCTTAGATGGGATTCTTGGCATATTACGTGTTCAGCAGACAAAGCACCCACAATATTCTGGCACACCCTCTGAAAAGTCCCTCTCCATGAGGTCTAGTATGACATCAGCTTTAGCTTGCCTTAGCCCCAGTCAACCTCATGGTTCAATGCCTAAGGTTGCTGACCCCTGAAATCCAGCATGTCAATTTAAAAACTGTCCCTCAAAGCCAGAACCCAGACAAATAAAACTAAAATAAAAATAAAGTTGGGAGCAATGCCATAGTCAAAGACACCTATTTTTTTAATTATACCCAAAAGATTAGCGTTAAAAGTCCTAATTGAGGAAAAGCTACATTATCTGATTGTTCCCACTGTGATTTCTATCAAGTTTCCCAAGTTTTGCATTTGTGTACTGCTACACTTTGTAGATGAAGACGTGTGAGTGGGAATTTACGACTCGTTGCTCATGCTAAATTGGATTATCCTTTAGGGGAAACGATAGAAACTTTGCTGTAAGGCAGGTGTGCAGAACACAGAGCTTTGTGGATACACTGACAGCAGGCGTACTTGAGGGGATTCACACATTTTGAAGCTGGTGTGTGTCTGCTTTTGCTACTGCCACACTAAATCCACTTAGAAGTAAGAGATAATGCACTCTGTTTGCAAATTAGTTGGAATGCAGTTTGTTGGCAGTGACTTGTGTTTTTTTTCTCTCAACAATATGAAAGTTCTGGTTTCTAGGAAAGCACACTCTTATGTATAATGTCGGAATAAATCATTTTAAGAAGGTTTTTTTTCCCCCTCACAGCCAGCCCTCCCAGGTTCGTCTCTGCAGAGGAGCTGATGGAGACAGCTAAAGGAATGACCAACATGGCTTTGGCCCATGAAATAATGGTCAACCAGTCTTTTAAAGTCAAACCTGCAGAGCTTCCTGAAGGGAGGTGAGAGTCTGATCAGATACTTTGCGTACATGTCTTTTAAATTGAGTTCTTTTTAGCTGTAGAAGTAAAAGTCCCCCCTGTCCCCTGTACAGTTTGCAGCACAGATTTAAGGAGATAATGCACAAAGCATTCTGGGATTGTTTGGAAGATCAGTTGAAGGAGGATCCGCCCACATACAGTCATGCCATCAAACTGTTAGCTGAGATCAAAGAGGTGAGGCAGAGGTTTTTACTATATTCAGGAAATAGACCATTTATTTCCAAAGTGTGTGTGCAAATGTGAGGTCTTATTTTAGCTGCCACCATCTTTCTTCACATATGAGCCTGCTGTAGTTTGTATTTTGAGAAGGTCATGGCCGCACAGCTTTACCATACATGGACATATACTACAGTGTGTATCTCTTCAGTCATTCTGTCTCTCTTGGCTGCCTTCAATCATCCTCTATTTCCCCGCTCATCCAGACACTGCTGTCTTTCTTGCTCCCGGGCCACGGTCGTCTGCGCTCCCGTATCGAGGAGGTTCTGGACCTGCCTCTAATCCAGCAGCAGGCTGAGAACGGAGCGCTTGACATCAGCCAACTGTCCCAGTTCATCGTTGGGATGATGGGCTCGCTGTGCGCCCCCTGCAGAGACGAGGACATCAAAAAGCTAAAAGAGATCAGTGATATTGTGCCTCTGCTCAAGTAAGCTAAGAGACAAGAGAGATTATTAGTTCATCATGTTTCAGGCTGTAGTTTATTTTTAGATGGTGTAATTTCATTCCAGGGCATTACAGTGCAGAAGTAGGCTTGTTCTGGAGTGACGGTGTCATAGAGGATGATAAGAAATGAGCTAGCAGGTCCCCAAACTTAATGCAGACTGTGAATAACAAGTCCAGCTCAGTTGGATAGTATATTTTGAGAGGATAGAATTTCATGACATATAACTCTCTGTTTCTGTCTCTGTCCTCCTCCCTCTCAGACAGATATTCTCCTTGTTGGACCTGATGAAGGTGGACATGGCTAACTTTGCCGTCAGCAGCATCAGGCCTCATCTGATGCAGCAATCGGTTGAGTATGAGAGGAGCAAGTTCCAACAGTTTCTGGAGAAACAACCTAGTAAGGAATCCATCTTCCATTTAGATGAGTCCCACTATGTTTAAACCATGCTAATAATTGCATATTGGACAGGCTAGATCTAAAACTACATGCAGACATTTGCTCAAACACTTACAGGTTTGCCTTGAGAAGTTCAGCTGTGTCTGACCTGTGTTTGTGCTTGCATCTGAAAAAATAGAACTCTGTCCCATTTTTTTTTTTACTTCTTTGTAGCATTGCAGCGCTGCAGCTATCAAATTATGGTCCACCCTAAAACTAAAACTGGGTGTTGTTTATGATATTCAACTGAAATTCAGCAACAGTTGAATGCTTTGACTTGCCACGTTTCCCATGCATAGCGTAAAGCAAAGTAAGGACATTCTTAATAGTCTACCAACTCCTCTAGCTACGTTCACCTCTAATTAAGCATCATGCATTTCTGTGTTAACATGCTTGTTTTATTCACGGAAGTAAAGTACAATGTTATTTAGAAAATTCAGACAAGATTCGGACAATGCAGCAAACCAAGCATATCTTCTGTTGACTACTGGTGTGCAAAAATGATGGAATGTCCTTGAAGTACCTGCTATTAGTGTGAATTATGAATCTGGCCTGCTTCTTCAAAAAGCAGGTAAATGGATGGATGTTGCATATCTTTGTTTTGGCATGTCAAATGATTGGAAAAATCAGGATCCACTGAATCCAGGGAAAGTTGAGTGAAATGAAATGATCCGTTCTTCTTTAGATGCCTTAGACTACACTGAGAAGTGGCTTGAGGACACAGTGAGATGCCTGAGAGAGGCCGGGGCGGATGGTTCTAGTGCTGCCTCATCTGACCCTCCTTCACTCCTCCCCCTTAATGTCCATAATCATGCCTATCTACGCCTGCTGAGGTGGGACCACTTGTCAGACCCCTTCCCGGAGGTAAACCCTGTCAATCCTGAAACCTGTCGTGTCTCTTTGTTGTCTCTGCCACCATAAATTGTATTCCTCTGTATTCCCCTCTCTATAGACAGTGTTGATGGATCAGAATCGGTTCCAGGAGATGCAGCAGGAGGCTGAGCGGTTAGTTCTGCTCTCCTCTGTGCTCCTCGTTGTCTACACTACCACAGGGGAGGCTATCTCAGGCCTACCGGGGCTGATGGAGACTCTTAAACACACTGTCAATGTCATGCTTGCAGACATGCACGCACCGTGAGTACCAGTGCTTTTATTGTCACTCTTGTATCTTTCATTTCATTATGTTTCACTCACACTGACTGGTTGGAGTGACAGATTAGGAGGAGGGTGTAGTGACCCAAATGTAACCAAACTATTTTCTAAGAACGTAACAGTTTATCAGGAAATGTGTTCATTTAACTGAGTCTTAAAGCTTTAATTTACATGGTGCTAAATGGACTAAGTACATGGTAGCTTAGTCTGCAAAATCATGGCAGGCCATGTGCCCGTGTTTGAATCCAGACACCCATCATCCATTTCTTCCTTTTTCCACATTTTTTGTCACTCTCTACCATCAAACTATACACCGATCATCATAACATTGTGACCACTGACAGGTGAAGTGAATAACACTGATTATCTGGCTATCATGGCTCCTGTTAGTGGGTGGGATATATCAGGCAGCAAGTGAACATTTTCTCCTCCAGTTGATGTGTTAGAAGCAGGAAAAATGGGCAGCGTGAGGATTTGAGCGACTTTGACAAGGGCCACATTGTGATAGCTAGACGACTGGGTCAGAGTATCTCCAGAACTGCAGCTCTTGTGGGGGGTCCCCGGTCTGCAGAGGTCAGTACCTATCAGAAGAAGTTCAAGGAAGGAAAAGTGTTGAACTGGAGCCACCAAGTTACCAAAAAAAGTGTCTTACACTTGCATATTTGTAATGCACCCATTTGGAACTTGTAGCTAAGTTGTATTGCTAAACATAAGTGGTTTTGCCTGTCCCAAGGTCTTTTAGTGCACACGAAGCCTTTGCGACCATCGGGGAGAAACTTTGTGTTGAGCTGAGTCAGTGTCTAAGCCAACATGGTTACTCTCCATTTTCACCTGACCGAAAGAGCATTCTGAGGGGACAAATCTCAGCTATCGTCCAGCCAGATAACCCGGTGCACAAGCTGATGGGTAAGAACAGTGACATGTATGATGTCTTTCACACCACAGCACAATGTGTGCTTTGTGTATTTGGCAGTGGCACAGATGTCTTCTCCTCTCTTTTCTTCTCCTCTCAGACTCTCGGATTCAGAGCTATCTCCTGGTTTCCCTGGAATCCAGTCAAAATAAGACCCCTCCTCATCTCCCAGGAGGCTTGGCTCCAGTCAGCAAGGAGCTGAAGGAGCTTGCAGATCGCTTCAGTCGCCTTGTCAACTACAACAAGGTGGTCTTCTCCCCATTCTACCAAAAGCTCCTCCATAAAATACTGACAGGCGGGGAGAGTCCCTAAGCACTGAAAGGTGGAGTAAGAGCAGCGTGGAGAGTGGTCTGTAGTTTTGCCATCCACCCTCACTTTGTAGCGGTTACGATTTAGAGAAAGGAGTTGAGGAAGCTGATCTGTATTCAGCCTATAAAGCTAACTCCCCCCAGTGTGTGCACCTCAAAACTATATAATCAAAAAACACTGACTTCCATCCCAGCTGCATTAACTCAGTGTTGCTTATTTGAAAAAAATTCAAGCCTATCTAGCTATCTCACACTAAGTTGTGTTCAGTATTACTAGCGGGGTTGGGTATCATTGGAAATAGTTTGGTATCTGAGCCAATACAATACCTGTATTTTAGAACTCATACTAAAATAATACTTAGTGTTATGGTTACCATACTTGGAGTATAAACACATTTATTTCGGCAGGAAAACTATGGCTAACTGTGAAAAAAACAATAATGATTCTAAAATATCTAATTAAAGATTAAGTCAACAAGACAAAGGATCAGAGCCTTTATCAAGTGTGTCAGAGTAGGAAATCAGTCCTCATTAGCCAACAGTTCTCAGAGTGACACATTTTGTTCTGTGTTGCAGCCTGGAAGTATTTTATCAATGTTCCCTGATCACTGCCAGTATTTAGGAGCGATCCAGAGGTGTCTCAACCTGTCAAGCGTTGACAGGAGACGCTGTTCAGGCAGAGTCATGTGATGTGAGCTCATTCCATGGACGTGTTGATGGCAATCAGCATATTAAAGGAATAGTTTGACATTGGGAAATACGTTTATTCACTTTCTTGTGGAGAGTCAGATAAGATCAATATGACTCTTATGTCTGCATGTAAAATATAAAGCTGCAGCTACCAGTCAACCAGCTTAGTTTAGCACAAAGACTGGAAACAGGGGAAACAGCTACCCGCGCTCAGTCTGAAGGTAACAAAATCAATGTGCTATCACTTCTAAAGCTCATTAATGACACGTTCTGTCTTGTTTGTCTAATCCATTGTGGTCAAAAAAGTGAGTTTTACTAGTAGTCTAGCAACCTTAGTGTCTTGACAACTGCCGGTTACCTGATCTTTTAATCTGACTCTGCAAAAAACGCAAAAAGCCTATATCACAAATTATTGAACTATTCCTTTAAAGATACCATTGGACAGAAACTCAATTATTTTTATGTCTCATCTTGCATTGGATTCTAACGAGAATGTGCTTTCCACAGAAATTACATACAACTACTTCAGCGGGAATAAATCATTTGATTTGCTAAGCAGCACCTCAGATACAGTAATGCACAGATGCATCTATTTTCCCCACCATTCAGTGTGAAGTATTGGCGAAACAACAAGCTGCATTTATATGAATGACTTTATTCATTTATTTATTAATTTGTGTATTTTGAACTCACAGGGCCATGTTATTAGAGAAATGTTCATTTTGTTGCAAAATGGTGACATTTCTGCCTTTTGTAAGACCGGACAAGTGTACAAAGGATGTAGCTGAAAGGGAAATTGCATGTAGCCTAGATAAGTTGCCAAACAAATCTCGTACGTGCTCTGCCTGATCCTGTCAAAAATAACGGGTAAAACACTTCTGAAGCTCTCCTAAATACTGGCAGAGATGGCAGTCATTTCCCAGGCCATGTTTGGCTAGGACTGATTCCCTACATTCAGACAATTTTATGAATAGTAACCTTGGCCAAGTATTCAGCAACAGCTTTCAGTACTTGACAGTTTTCAAAGTCAGTGCTACTGACACAATTTAATCGATTAATCAAAGCAGCTAGGCAATTGTATAGCATGAACAAGACCACAGATGACTGCATGCTGTCTTTTACACTGCAATTGTAAGGAAATACAGTGGATACAAAGACTTGGTACACCTTTACATCTTGTGGAGCTTTCTCGACATCAAATAATGTTCATTCAGGATTGTCAGATTTACTAGGTTAGAGTACCAGTAAAAATGTTTGGTTACTTATTTCTTACAGTGTATTAAAAGCATCTTTATAACATAACCAGGGGCTTAACCTTAGACCGGTCTTAAGTTGTCAGGTTAGACTAGTCTAACTAAGCCTGTCTGTTGCATAAGTATTAAGACTGGCTTAATTTGAGGTAGGAAAGTTAGCCAGCTCAAGACACCGGAATATTGACCATATGTTGATTGAAAGGACAACGGGCAAGCAAGTTAGGACACAGTGATTGCTCCATGCTATAGATGGCAGATGTTGGGTTTTTGGAAAGAACAAAGAGAACGAGAGTGTCCATTCAGTTACATAGAAAAGTAACACCTACCCTAACAAGTATTGCCTGAGTTTATCTTTTTAACTCATTTATAACTTAAAACTATTTCTGTTTGGAGTCTGTACCAGCCTATATTGAAATCAGAAGACAACATATTTGAATGCTGCATTTATGTCACTTTGTTTTCAATATATATTCAATGCATTTTAAAGCAGCAGGTCTACTTCTCTTGTACAACTACAACTAGTTAATAAGTGAGCTTGTGGGTGCTGGTAGGCTAAGCAACTCAACTCCTAGCTGTAGCTTTATATTTAGCATATGGATATGAAAGCGGTATCAAAAGTCACAAAAAAGACAAATCAAGAATCGGTTTACTTACTCCATATTTTTGAACCACACAGCAATGTGAAAATAAAGGGTGTGTAGACTTTTTGTATCCACTGTATGTGCGCAAGATGATTCTGTAAGGTATTTTAAAGTATATTCGATCAAAGGAAAATGACCAGAAGGGAAGCCAGACTGGTGTTTTGTGACCAACTTGAACTGTTGTTCTATTTGTTAGTTGTTTTAAATTCTGTTAACTTATTTATAACATTTCTTATGGTTTATAAGATGTTTAGAATATTTACTTTAGACTGACACTTTGCTTTGCACACATATTTTACACACTCAACTCACCACAGAGTACTTACAGTGGTTGTAACAAATCTTCAGCTCCTCCAGGCAGAATGACGTCATGTGTTCATTGATTGGTCACACCAGTCACACTGATATTTGTCTTTAACTGTTCATCCAACATGCCAATAAAGCATTGTTTGTCCCACACTGCAGTCATTTCTTTAATCCTTTTTTCTCTTTTTCTTGGGCTGCTTGTATCAGATTTGTTTTTAGCGAGGGATCTAACGACATTCTCAGGTGGTTCTTTGGCCTGAGAGACACATTTTGAATAAACTACCTTTTAGATTTGATAGCAGCCACTTTATTCTGCAATCCTTTAGTGGTGGCTGTAGTCTGACATTGTACTCCAGCTTTACTGGCTGGTTCTCTGACTAGTGAAGGTACAAAGAACCATCTTAATATCATGTGTAAACGACTGAAAGGACTCATCAGTACTATCATTACCAAACTGCTTGCATATAGTTTACATATGAGACACTAGGTGGAGCCAGAACTCCAATTAAAGATCTGATATAATAGAGTTTTATCATTAATATGTAGTAGAGGCAGAGTATATAATAATTGCAGCAGCCCTTAACAACCAAAAAGTTGATTGTTACTTCCACTTCACAACAGCAAATGCTTAAATTACTGAGTTCTATTGCTGATGATTTAGAACATGTTTGTAATAAGAGCCCTATTACAGTGCAACAATGAGATGGTGAAGAAAACAGACATTTTCATATGGACTTTTGTACAGCTGGCATGTTTAGTCCTGAATTGTAATTACATTTGCTTGAGTCTGAGATGCAAACCTCTCTTGCTTGGTTAGGAGATGGAGGGTCACTTGTTTTTAACTGATTCTTTTTTTTTCTTTTATGGGTTGCCCTTATGGGTTGCCCTGGTGGCTCGCCTGGTGGAGCGTGCAACCCATGTGGTAAGGCTGATCCCCTAGCAGCAGAACAGCGGGTTTGATTCTGCGGCCCTTTGCTGTGTGTCATCCCCTCTCTCTCCCCCTTTGCTGTACCTTTCAAGTTGTCCCTGTCATTAATAAATGCATGTGCCTGTCCCCCACGTCCTCTTTCACATATCAGTTTTGTTGAATGCTGTGTTATTATCAAACCTTTACCCTCAGTGAATAATGCCTAAAAGGAGGTGGAGAAAGAGTAAATTAAAGTAATTGAATATTTCTTCTCCAAAACTCAAATTTGCTGTATTGGCATTGCCATAATTTTTGTCAAAGCCGGCTGTGCAAGTTTTACAAAGTAAATCTAATAAGTAAGAATGTAAGAAGAAAAAGAAGGAGGAGGAGGAGCCTTGGTGGGCATACAGTCACGTATGATCCCTGCATGCTCGGCGTAATGTGTAGGATTTAGTGGTATAGTTGCAGATCGCAACTCCCTCGCTTCACCCTCCCCTTCCAGGAGCAAAGGAGACACCTGCAAAAAACATGAACACTCCTATCTGCAGCAAGTGTTTGTTCCGTCCGTTGTGGGTTACTGTAAAAACATGACGGTTCAACATGGCGGCCTCCATGGAAGATGACCTGTGGCATCTGAAGATATAAAAGGCTCATTCTAAGGTAATAAACAATTCTTATGATTATTATGATGATGTGATTATACACTAATGAAAACATACCTATAAATATTATAATAAATCCTCCTAGGTCTTCCCCTTCTCAAAGTCTCAAATGACCTACTGTTGTCTTTAGACTGGTACATGTGCCATAATTCTTTCAGACCTCAGTATGGCTTTTGATATGGTTGATCATTGTATTTTATCAAATTGTCTCAAAGACCAGACTGGCATCCAGGGCACTTCCCTCAAGTGGTTTGCCTCCTACTTAACTTGCAGGACCTTCTCTGTTGAAGGACTAGTGTGTAGGATTCAGTGGCATTTAGCGTCGTAGTTGCAGATTGCAACTCCCTCGCTTCACCCTACCCTACCAAGAGAAGGTGAAACTGCAGTGGCCGATGAACAGGTGAAAAACACTAACGGCTGTGTTTGGTTTGTCCTATCCCTACTTGTTTTAAAACATGGTGGTTCAAAGCGGCATCTGTAAACAGCTCATTCTAAGGCAACAAAAACATAATGATTCCTCTATTCAGTGATTATACACTAATGAAAACATAGTTATGCATATTATAATCAATTTCTGTCAATATATCCTCATAAATAATACACACTGGACCTTTAGGATCTATCCTCTCCTTCTCTACTCCTCACTTGTGGAGTACCTCAAGGTTCCATACAGGGCCCATTTTGTTTGCTCTGTATGTTCCCTTTGGGCTCTGTCTTCCACAAGCAAAATGGGCGTCATGCATGAATCTTTTATTTTACAAACCGATAAAGAGGAGAAAGAGAAAATCATACCTGTGATTCATGTCACGTGATAGCCAAGTCTGTACTTACCCACCTTAGTAAGTTGATGAATGGTGTTTGATCTTAAATTGTGTGTATGTGACAGGAAATTTTGCAATTAGCATATGGAAACTCCCCAATAAATCCACATAAGGCCAGCAGATTTAAGAGCCGTGTGCAAGCCACTAACCAACAAGCCCCTGAAATAACATTAACATTAAACTAGACAAAAGAAGAAAAGAAAGAAAAAGGAAAGGAATTTCCACCAAAGGGCCAATGAAAATTTACTTCATTAAGATTTAATATGCCAGATGGCTTGTTACACAGAACCATCTTGAAAGTTGTCCTTGGAAACTGTTTAAGGCAGGCACTTTAAAAAACAAACTGGATGAACCATAGCAACCGTATGCCAGTTGAGAGAAAAGCGAAAACATATTTCCCTTTTTTTCTCCAGTTCTGATATAAGTGATGCTAGCAGCATCTATGCTAACCTCTATGGCAGCCGCCATTGAACGAACAGTTGCCTTCTCGTTGTGTCACACTGCAAGTGGTTCCTCAAATGACGCTGATTGGTTGAACCACCGTGGTACGGGCCAAGTGTGAACTTATCGTGACATCACCCATTTTGAAGCCTTGAGTTTGGCATTATGGCCGTCACTGTGACTTTTTTTTCTCCAGCCAGAGGTGGTGATGTACTGCGAGTTGAGCTGCTCTCATTGACTGCACAGTTTAAAGTTGTCCGTAGCAGGAAACAATGGTGTCTTTCCTGCTCACACACGATCTCATATTACAAATAAACAGTATACCTGAAAAGATTTTAAGCAAGAAATAGTCAACGCAGAATCTTAATTCATATTTGATCAGCTCTGCCTAGTTTGACAGTTTTATCTGAGTTGTGTGTGAGGCACTGACAAGGTAGCCACACCCTAAAGCATACTTTATCGTCTATTTTACTTTAAATGGGACCATAATTTACTAAATGAACATCATGCTGAGACTTGAACTAGCGATGGAGACCATAAACTCATTAGAAAACTGTTTACTGAACTCACAAATCAATTGAGAAGTTGGGTCATTTCTCTATAAGCTCAGTGCTATCAGACTTCTTGCAGCCAGTGGAGCTGCCCCCTGCTGGCCTTTACATAAAATGCATGTTTAAGATACTTCTGCGTTATCTTCATTTCACAGACCCGGGAGCACTGTCCACTATACATACTGTCAGTGGCATAGCTTGAAGCCTGGAAAGATGGATTCTGGCATGATCTTGTGAGTTCATCAGCAGCCTTACAAGGTAAACATAGCCCACGATCGTATATTTTGGGAGACAAAGAATACTGCTGCACCAGTGTTTAGTCAAACACACATGGGGCCAACAAATCACACCACTAGATATGTGAAGAGCTGTGGACTGACTGAGCAACCAGACCCATCAACTGAGGAGAAGCAACATCAGTAAGCCTTACCCTAACTGCCCCTCCACCTGCCACTCAAAGAATGTGGAGTCCTAATCAGGGCCAATTGGCGGAACTGTACTCTGTCAGGCCCTGCAGTCCTCAAGCCTCCACATAAACAGTATTTGTAATTTGTTTATATGAATGAACTGGTAGACTTTGGGAGGAGTGTGGACTGGTGCTAGTAGCTTCTTCCAAGTTGTTGAGTGTTACAGTTGTTTAAAGATAAAGTTAAGGAAGGGTAGTTTACTAGTGTTACCTAAGGAATTATGGACCTAGTTAAATGTTTGGCTTCAGTTATTCAAGAAACCTGTAGTTATGATGAAGTCAATACCTTGGGTTTTATTATGCTTAGTCAACAATGGGGCTTACTGCTGAAGAAGGGCAATGTAATGTTTTGCCTCCATAGTAGTGTTGGTGGCTGTGATCAATGCTGTTATTGTTAGGAAAATAAAGTACACTCCTGCAGATCAAGTACACAGCTCCTAACTGCTGATTTACACACACACTAATGTTAACAAAATAATCATTATGATATACACAGACTTAGAATTAGGAGTGCCTCAAGGAACGCTAGGGATATTCAAGGAACCTTACTGGCTTGGGGGGTTCGTGAGGAACCTTTAACAGCTCAGTTTCGAGGAGAGATCACTGGAGGAACGAATTTACACATAGAAAAGGTGGCTGTTCGCCTCAAATGTGTGTTTTCAATAAGGCCTACCTAATTCTTCACCTTGAAACTCAATATATTATATATCGTTCTATAGAGGAAAACTCTTTTTAGGATTTTAGAGAGAGTGTTTAATGAATTTGGAAGTTAAAAAAACATGACTTCCATTGTTGTCTGAAACATGGGCAGCCCCAATCAGCAGGTGTTCCCTTACAGATTGGTGAGATAAGCCTATCTAAAGCCATTTTCCAGTTGGTCACTTTCTCTGGTAATAACTCATCCACAGTATTTCACTACAACAAAATTTGATTTCCAACAGATGTTTGTCTAACAGTTCAGCTTTCTAGCATTCGGGTTTTGCAGTCACACTATATCAACTTGTATCACACTCAAGTTCAAAAGGGGATGATTGGTAGCTCTTATATTTATGGCTATACTTGTATATATTATTCATTACATTTCCATTGCTGATGCATGCATGTGATTGAGCAAGAGAGAGGTTTTAATAATTAGCCCAAGTGATGATGTAAATCACATTGCCCCCTGCAGCGTAAAGTGTCCTTTAGGAGGTCCTCAACCATGGCTTTGCTAGCCATTCCACAATCCAGGCTGAGGACCAAGGTTGACCAGGCCTTTTCTATTAGAGCCGCAAAAACAACCTTCATGAGATCAGACTGCAAGATCCTCATCCTCTTTCAAATCCCTCTAAAAACATATTTTAGTGCACTTTCATAGGGTTTGTGTTCTGAATTCACCGTTGAGTCACTTCTTGAAACCTCTTAACTCTTCTTTAATTGATTATTGATTATTTCTATAATTTTATATTATTTTATTTGACTTATGTATCTTCTATATTCTACTCTAACAACATGGCGGTTCAACGTCGCAGCCTCCATGGAAGGCCACCTGTAGCTTTAACTGTCTCATTGTAAGATCACAAAAACATAAAGAGTCTTATTCTCAGGAGAATAAACACTAACATACCTAATTATGCATATTATTTTTAATTTCCTCCAACATATTCTCATAAATGTTACATACTGGACATTTTAAATCATTTTTTTTATCATTGTTTGTCTACCATTTTTCAGTACTATTCTTCTTCTTCTTTTTTTATTATTATCTCACAGTTATATTTAGAATTATGCCCCATGCTTGCACAATATAAACTAAAATAATGGTCTTAGAACTAGACCCTCTAATAGGCATTAGGTAATATTACAGGGCCCTCTTTGGTTAATATTGCATTTCGTGCATACTCCGTTATGAATTTGTAGTAATCAAATTACCAAAGCCAGCTGACATGCAATGAACCTGGGTCCCAAGACATTTTGCCTGGTTGATATTCCAGTATGATGAGATGATTTACAATTTAAGAATTGGATATGTGTAGGCAGAAGGAGCTCAGTAAGTCAATGTGGAACATGAAATAAAGTCCAACAGTCGATTAAATAAACACAGTATAGCATAAAGTTTGAAGTACAATAAATGCATCTAATGGAGTGAAATATCACGGCAGTCAAATGTTTTTACTCTGCTGTGTGTGACATTTATAGCCTCCCTCTCTCTCTCTCTCTCTCTCTCTCTCTCTCTCTCTCTCTCTCTCTCTCTCTCTCTCTCTCTCTCTCTCTCTCCCCTCCCCAACATTCCACACATGCGGAGAAGCAACAAGCTAGCTACCGAACCAGCAGCAACAGCTAGCAGCCAGCAGCTATCTCCGTCGGGGACGCGGCGCATTAACATGCAAAAGTTTAGAAAGACGGACTCCTTGTCCTAAACTGAGACAAGAGCAACGCCTAGTGAAACCCGATACCACTGTCGAAACCATGGGTCATGGCTGGCTTTCGCAACAGCTAGTTATTTCGGTTATTTGAAGCTTCAAATGTGTGAAAAGTCGCTCGGTCTCTCCTCGTCGTTGAACAAGATGGCAGCAGCAGCACCGTTGCAGGATTTGACTGTGGTTCGGGTCCTCGTTGCTAGCCTGTTCCTTGACGCTCTGGGTGATATGATTTACAGGTCTTACTGAAGGTATGTCGCCTTATATGTAAACTGGCTGTCAAGTACGCTTTCTGTGCTACGGTTGTGTTAGTCTATTTTATAATTTTAACGTTGAAAGGACTCATGGCTAGCTTGTTTGCTAACTGTTAGGCTAGCCAACTTCTGTTAGTTCCCTTTGGCAGATAAGTATTAACGCTAGCAGCGAAAGCTAATTTGTTAGTGCTAACGACTGATACTAGTTATTTAGGGGTCTGCTGTGAGCATGCACTTGTTTGTGTTTTGATTTTGAGCAACTTTAACTGTGTACTACGTAATACATTAACGTTATCTTGTAAAGATATAGACAAAATAATATAGGAATATAATTTACTAAGTAAAAAGATAACAACACGCAACAGTTGCCTTACTGTACGTTTACATTGGCCTGTTTAGTTCGTAAAACTACATTGAGTAAGTTATCACCTATCCCACATAGTAAAACACACCTATTATTTAGCTGCTTGTCACTTACAACATAAGTTTCAACAGGTGTCAGGGCTGGTGGTGCCCTTCCCCCAAACACACACACACACACACACACACACACACACACACACACCACCCCTCCCATATGTTAACTGTCTCCTAGATTGATCAGTAACAAATTGCGTGTACAGCTGGCATTCTTTGAACGGTGGTGAAACACACCACAAACACACATACACTTGCACACACACACACACACACACTTCTGTGTCATGGCTCTCCATTTCAGGCATGAACCTTGTAGCCTTTTGGGATATCAAGCTACCTAGTTTGGCAGTGAGAGGAAAGAGCAGGAGGTATCACAGCTGTGTCCGTGCCAGGGTCCCTCAGAGACTGATGGGCATGCACAGGGTGAGATATTTGCACCGCACCAGCCATATGGTGGTAGATCGTTTGCTAACTTTTGCCAGTTGCATCATCAAGTTATGACCAACATTTGCCAGACTTGCAGGTGTGGGTGATGAATGAAGAAAGTGTCTTGATCTCTACGTAGCGATGGCAGAGTATTGCTATCTTGAAATCTCCTTTTTGCCTGCAGACATTTTAGTTACACCCTCCAATGTGTTGTCTGTAAATTCTGTCAAGAAAAACTCTCTCTCTCTCTCTCTCTCTATATATATATATATATATATATATATATATATATATATTTATTTACCAGTTAGAATTTTAGTAGTAAGCTCAGTTTTAGTACTGCCAATATTGTTCTCACTAGAGTGAGGTCGATATGTTTTTCCATATAAGATTCAGTTTGAAAGAAAAGTTTGGTCATAACGGTGGTTGTTAATCTCTGTTAGCAGAATATGTGATAAAACTCACCACCCATGCAAGTCATGAGAAGTGAAGTGTGTATTATGTTGACGTTGAGGCACACCCGTCTGCCTGTCTGAGCCTGTGTGTGACAGCTTTAGTAGTTGGGAAGGCCACTGGCTCTCAGCAGGCCTTTCTTGTCGAACAAAACTTTGTGCTTAAGACAGCCAGCGTCTTGAGTGTCTTTGTGTAACGTGGGATGTAGCCTGAAAACTGGAATCACCTGAGTCTGAGTGTGAACCCAGTCAGGCACAATCTATGTCTCTGTTTGGAAATATTCAGGAAGTGTTGCTGTTAGGCCTGCCTGCTTTCTGCCTGTTATCATGGCATCGTGACTTGCTGAAAGGAGAGGAATGTTGAGGAAAAGCCGAAATAAACTTAAAAAAATAGTGTTTGAAATTGGAAAATCGTTCATGTTTGACATTTTTTAAAAGTAAAAGATTATTGTTGCTATAGTCAGTTAGCTATACGGACATGGCTGGCATGTGTGACACTGATCAGATAGTATTGAATGTGTTAGCAGTTGGAAAAAACAAGTGGGGTTGATTTTTGTTTTTATTTTTAGCTCAGGTTTGGGCATTTGGGAATGAAATACATCACAAATCAGATATTTGCCAAAATAAAACTTTTGTTTAAATGCACGGATCTGAGTTTTCTGGTCATTACAATTCAGTTGCAAGGCCTGTGCTTTTTTCTCTCTCGCTTGTGTGTCAAATTACTGGAGAGGGTGAGAGAATGGATAATTCTGTGTCATTTGTCCATGCAGATAATGATTAGACTGGGTTCATAGGACAGGCAGACATCTGAAAATTACTCACGTATGCATGTGGGTTGTTTTGAGTGTAAACTCGGATGTCAGATATGAGTCATTCTTAAAAGTAGATGTAAAGATATGGTTGAACATATTCAAAATAAGTAAACATTGGTCATTATTAACAAGAAACTAAATTTTGTAGGCTGTGTTGAACGTAGATTTAATGACCTCGTCATTGGTCTTCAAGATCTCTTTGGAGGTAAAGTGAGATCTTATTGATTGTGTCTGTATCAGTTGAACTGGAGCATTGCATAGGCTGTTAACTGTATGTACAGCTCACAGCGTCTCCCTTGGATGAATCTACTTCATCATTTGATTAACTCAGATTGTGGTTTTGAAGCAGGTTAGGATTGAGTATTTGTTCTTGGTGGTCATCACATTAAGTAACAGTAACGATACTAATGTGCCTGGGTCATAGACAGAGTTTCAGTAGAATCCCTGACAGAAAGGTTTATCAGTCAGGGATCAGGTGTGTAGGTGCTTTTGTAAAATGTCACTGAGTTACAGATCATGCTTCATGATGTATCATTTCCCCCTGGGGTACTGCTTGCTTTGCGGTTCTACTTTGTGTGAAACTGACCCTCTGGTGTAGCGTGCAGGGACACGCCAGAGATGCAACGGGCTTCCCCCATCTCCCATTACAATAAGCCAGTTCCCCTTTTCAGTAAGGGTGACATGGTGGCTTAGATGTGTATTTGCTTGGCAGCTTTTATGGCTGCTTTCTTTAGATCGCAATCTTTCTTCGGAGGATGTAATAGGAATATGCTGTTTTGCTATGAACCAGTTCAGTTCAGCACTTATCTGTACATAGATTTTGCTTAGTAGAGTTTTTGAACAGTGCATCATTTTAATATTTCCAAGGTAGTCAGCATCATGTAGGCAAATGCTAATCTTAAAGTCTAAAAACCTGATTGTGTCAGCTTTGCATATCCTTGACTATATGATACATGTGGCCTGTATTTTATTTATTTTTCTGTTGTTTAGGTATGGCCTCACAAGTCTTGGTCTACCCATCACACCTGCACTCAGCTCAAACAAGTGCCTTAGGAACCAGCAGCAGTGGTACCAGCAGACACAAAGACGAAGCTCACCACATTAATAACACCAGCAGAGCCTTTCAGCACCGACCCCTACACAAGACCTATGTGATCGGAGTCAACTACGGAATTGCCTATCCCAACAGCGCTGTCCCATCCTCAACCAGTGCTGTTTCAGGAAGACTGCACAGAGAACTAGAGCTTGGAGAGAGGGAGGAGTGGGCATTGCAGACGGCAGGATTACAGAGAGAGGAGAGCTGGGAGAGTCGAGGGGACGGTCCAGCTGGGATTGAGGAGTCTCTTGGCCAGAGCAGAGGCCCACAGGAAGTGAGGCTTTGTAGAGACAGTGCTGGAACTCCACCAGGAGGAGGCCTGGACTGCGGGCTACTTAGGAGGGCCTGTATCAGAGCAGAGGAAGACGTGGGCAGAAACCGAAGAGTACAAGCAAGAGGAGGATACGTCAGCCTTCTAGACACAGGTGCCACCCAGAGATGTGAACAGAAGGCAGGTGAAGGTGGAGAACATCCGCGGGAGAACAACTGCGTCGGAACCATGCAGATAGTGGAGGAGGTATCTGCTCTACCTTCACTTCCTCCCCCTGTGGCCATGTTGCAAACCAGCAAAGGGAACAATGCAGACACACTCAGAGTAGGGGGTGGAGGGACACTGCCTACTCAACACAACAGGGTTGAGGCCGTGACCGGCATGGGAATCGGGGTGGATGGGACCGAAATCAGGCCTAATGGCAGTACTGAGGCAGTGGCAGGAGCTCCAGTGACCAGAACTGGATCAGCAGATGGTGACTATCAGTTAGTTCAGCATGAGGTTCTGTGCTCTTTGAAGAACAGTTATGAGGTCTTGGAGTTTCTGGGTCGTGGCACCTTTGGCCAGGTGGTGAAGTGCTGGAAGAGGGGAACGAATGAAGTGGTGGCTGTCAAAATACTGAAGAACCACCCATCCTATGCACGCCAGGGACAGATTGAGGTGAGGATTTGTTTATTTTTGTTGTGTGAGTTCGGTGTTTTTAGTTGAAATTGTAGCTGAAAATTGGTGACCTCGTTGCTTGTGACTACAATTTTGTTGGGGCATCACACCAGCACATGACGAGAGGAACAGTGCTTCTATTGTCATTCTAATTAACATGGTTAACAGGGACAGCTTTTGAGCTTTCTTGATGCTAGAGAACTGTCTATTGCTAAAGTTTTCTTCTGCCTTTTTTATTCTTAACTCAACCAGTGTTATTTTCTTACTTGATCCTGAACCCCCAGGTGGAGATCCTGGCACGGTTGAGCAGTGAGAATGCAGATGAGCACAATGTGGTGCGTGCTCTGGAGTGCTTTCAGCACCGCAGCCACACCTGCTTGGTGTTTGAGATGCTGGAGCAAAACCTCTACGACTTCCTTAAACAGAACAAGTTCAGTCCACTGCCACTCAAAATCATCAGGCCTATTCTGCAGCAGGTAAAATGACATCTATGGCACATACACAGATACAGTACACATGCCCCTGAATGCAAACACAGGTGCTCATAGAAAATAATATTTTGCTGAGGAATGACATGTCCAAATCCAATTTTGGTCCCAGAATCTTATCTGTCTTTATTTATGTAAATGTTTGCAGGTTGCAACAGCCTTAAAGAAGCTGAAGTCGCTGGGTTTGATCCATGCTGACCTGAAGCCAGAGAACATCATGTTGGTGGACCCCACCAGACAGCCCTACAGAGTCAAGGTCATTGACTTTGGCTCAGCCAGCCATGTCTCCAAGGCAGTCTGTTCCACCTACCTGCAATCCAGATACTACAGGTGAGGAGTACCACATTCAGTCAAATCACGGTATAATCCATCATTCACCAAGTTCAGAAATGAATAGACCCATCTTTGTTATGGAATATTTACTACTCATGCATCTTGAAAGAACAGCAAGGGAGTTACCCTGCAGTGGTTGAGGCTTGAGTTGACTGACATACCTATTCATACTTTTCAACATTTGTTTTGTTAGTGTTATTCTCTGTTACTTATGAAAATAAAGTTCTTTTTAAATCCCACTAAAAAGAATTTGCTGTCATCAGGCAAAATCATTAGGCTGGCTATTGTCAGTGTGGAAATTGCTACAGATTCAGTGTCATGTTTCTAATGAGGAATTGTATTTTTGAGTTATATTGCATACCGAGGGAAAAGCACACAAGTCACATTAAACAAGTGAAAGTTATATGTATTTCATTTTTACTTCTGGTTTGTTATGACAGAAATGAAAAAAGAGTTGGAAGAGAGACAAAAATGCACACCTCAGAAGAAACGTGGTTTCGAATAGTACAAAATGTTCAGAAATGTAATCAACAGGGTAGAATTTTTTTAGGAAGCATAGAGACAGTGCAATGTCATGTCGTTTGTCATCATGATATGCCAACATTGTTAGCTGTCTCATGGGTAATAGTTGTTTATGTGTGGGTCTGTTTGTTTCCCACAGGGCTTAGCAAAGTCTTGCCCCCAGCTTTATGTGTTTGGGCCTTCTCTCTTCTTACGTAATGTGAAATGCTCTGTGTTAACCTGCACACTCTCACTGGGAGCACCATGACGTGCACAGCCTTTCCCCCCTTTCTGTTTCTGTCTTTCACTTTTTGTCCTCTTCGCCTGCTGTCTTTCTCTTTGCCCTGCCCCCTCAGTCTTTCCTGCACTCAGGCATTTTTGGACCCATGCCTGCATGCATGTATGTCTGATCTGTGTTCAGAACGTCACGCCCTAAACTCTGCTCGCCGCTCTTGCATAACGTGCAGAGGAACTGAGATGTTTATATGAGGAACAGCGTCATGAAATATTTTGCATGTCTTGTAGGCTATAGTGATAAAGAGAACGGGCTTATGAAATAGATTGTGATCTCCAGGACACATTGTCAACTCCAAATAACTTAACATTAAGTAATTAAGCTGTAATTATTCCACACAATATATTAAGGACCTGCTGTAGTTAAAACAAACAACAGCAACAAAATGACTGTTTGTACAAAGTAGTAGTAGTAGTACAAATCTACTCTCATTAGAAATGCAATGCCCGTAGAAGTTAGTGACAGTTGACATGTTTAATGAAATGGATGCTTGCTTCCAAGGCAAAATATTTCCTTTTCAGTAACCACTGGACAACTTCTTGGCTGGCAGTTTTATTCACCTACACTCTTACAAGCAAGTTTAAGCAAGGTTGATCGGGTTGGGTAAACTATTGCATGCTCTTCAAACATTGTGCAATCTATGACAAATACTCTGACATACTGGGTATGTCTGTAGCTAATGCACTGCACACACCCACCATTCCACTATGCAGCCCTGATTTTGTTGCTCTGAAAGGACTTCATTTTCTCAGTTATTTCAACTGTATAAATCAGGAAACTAAAGTGTGGGTGTCCTGAAGCAAACTTCTTTGTAAAATGATGAACCTCAGAGCACCAAAATGCCAGCAATAACCCTGCAAATTCTCTATTTTTGCGAAAGCAAGCCACTTTCTAGTCCCCCCTCTGAGAGACGAGGAGGAGAGTGGAGCTATAGCTGTTGCATAACATCAAGGCTTTGCTCTGCAGTTGACCTGGTTAAGGGTGTGTGAGTGTGCGTTCATGTGTGCTTGTGTGTTTTGTCTTTGAGCAGCGTCGGCAACGCTGAGATCATAGCGCATTTAAAATGGGCTGGCACTGAATTTTAGGGAGGTCACCCAGGACACAGAATGCCAGGGAAGAATGTGGTATGTAAAAACCCACATTTAGATCCAGGAAAAACATTCAGACATTCCTGTGTGTGTCTGGGTGTGCTCATATGTGTGCCTCTGTCCATTCAACAGCTTCCAGGCTGGGTACTTTATGTATGTTACACAATGTACCTAACATGCTTACAGTTACTCAGTTCAGATGTGATAAAGAAGTTCTCTGAGGATGGGAAACCGGTGTGTCAAAATTGTTAACCTGCTTGAGCCAAAAAGCTATATTGATGTGAAATCACAATCATCATCCCATCTGGCCATATTTGAACAATTTCAGTCTATTCTTTTGATTCTTTTTCATTATGCAAAGCAACTATTTTTATGCCCTTTGGCAGCTAATAGAGAGCCATTGGGTAGGGAAGTTGTTCAAATAGTACAGACATAGTAACTTTATGGCATATAATGGTACACCAGCACTTCCATTCCTTTGTATTTTCAATTTATTTGCCCCCTTCCACTGTGTGTAGAAATTGGTTTGGCCAGCTGGTAGTATATATGGATTGGTAGTTTACTTTGTGCGTTGATGGGCCTTTATGTTAGCCTGGTTAGGTAAACATCTGTATTCATAGAGAGACGTTGCCAGAGTCTAAAAAAAATGACTGTTGCAGGTCACTGAACATTTTTACCGACCACTCTTCTCTCTACATTTACCCTGCATTTGGCGGGTGCTAATTTTATTCCCTGGATGTCACCACATTTTCATATCTATATCATTATATAATTTGAGTCCCAGAGCGGGGAGTGTGTTTGCCATTTTGTATGTACATCAGGTTATCAGGAGAGTGGTTTGCAGGACACAGAGTCTCCTCGTCCACAGTGCTCATATTGCATAATGCCTGTACTGTATTGTTACCACAGTGTAGCTGTTAAGAAATGCTGGCCTCACCACAGTGAGCAGGAGTTTTTTTTTTAACATCTCTGGGGTTTTCCCTGGATTTTCCAGAACCAAAGGTAGTAGCATTGCCAGCAGTGTGGCTTTGATGCAAAAGTGAGTTTTTAAAGACACAAATAAAACCCTTAAAGAGCAGTAAAATTGAGTTTGTCTTAACACTCTCATTAAAGGCACAGTCTTAGAGCAAAATGTAAACAAAATTATAAATACAGGTTGGCATTCATCGCTCCCACATGAACAGGCAGTTGTTTTAATACACAGACCAATGCTAGACAACATTAGAATCCAAGTTTTTCATGTTTTCTGATACCTCTAAAGGTTTGTTTGCCAGCATGGGGACCTTGTAGAGTAAAACATGCCCATATTTTAAATGATCAGATGAGAGACGCTCAAAATGCTGATTGCCCAATACTCAAAGAACAGATTGGGCCTTTAAGAGTTGGCACATAACAAGCATTGATGATATAAATGTCACAAACATCATGATTAATATAAATGCTAATTAAAGTTTTGCATATGTCTCACTGTTCACAGGATCAGCCGTGTGTATATATAAAACAGCTTATGGTTTCAGTTATTGCCTTTGATGAGGAGTTGTTAGGGGCCTGTGTGAAGCACTGCTGGTGCTACTTGCCTCAGGTTAGAAACAATTTAAAAAAAAAAAACCTGCATTGCAGAACCAATCCAAAGTCTTTAGGGCAGTGACATATAGAGTTGTGTGTTCTCTCTGTGTTATAAAGGGATTTGCTAAATTTCCAGTTTGTTTCACTGCAGAGGAGAATGGGAGGAGAGCATCAATTCATGTGCGTAAGGTGTCTCCTTAAATTAAGGGAAGTACCTTTGTTGCACTTGCTGCCGTTCAAGCAACTTGCTTGCATTTAGAGTTCCTCAGATGTAGGTGAATGAGATCTCAGATGCATGTTTTATACACTACACTTTTTTGGCACGATTTCAGGATGTCCTTTAATGAAAAGACTGTTTTTTTGTGCAGCAGTAATATTTTTTAACAAGTTCATACATCATTTGGTTCGGATTTGTATGGATATCCTGACTCACTGGGGTGTCTGTGACTCAGGTGGTAGCATGTCCAGTAATTGTAGGGTGGTGTTTTGATCCCTGGATCCTCCTGTTTGCATGATGCAGAGTCAAATGAATGCTTATTCAGGTTAGTCAGGTTTTTATATTGAAATACTATTCTTCAAGGGATTCTTATAAACGTACATTCAACATAATTTCTAACAAAACGGTCTACAGTTTTGTTAATTTACCTGTAAATGTGTCTCTCAGTGAACCTTGTTAGTCCACAACCAGACAAACAGAATCTAGCCCTATGCTGTAGTGGGCCCTGGGTATTTTAATTCACCTTAAGCAAACAGATGCAGTCTTTTTCCTGAGATCTTGCTTAGTCATCTGGATATTTTTTGTGTAAATACTATGAGGTGGTAATTTGAACTTCATTGGTTTTATAAGCATAACTCTAGAAAGAAGTCTCTGGCAGAAGCCGTTCAATGCTTGTCATGCTCTAATATGTTGTTGCCATGGTAGCATGACACAGCAGGGCCTGGTGAGGTGACTGTTCTGTCCTGTGGGTGCTGGTGACGTAAAACCACCTCCCACAATGAAAATGGAGCACTGGGCTATGTGAATAATTCAGCTAAGCAGATCAGGTGGAAGGAAAGATGGCTATCATCTTAGCATGCTTACAGATTTGAGCATGTTGTGTAAGGCTTTCTTCATCAAGGTGTGCTTTCTTTGTCACAAAAGTGTTAGGGTAGTACCTGGATGGATTGTACTTATTGTCAACTATTTGATGTAGAGAGTCTTTGTAATGAAAAGGAAAATTGAATCCTGAGTAGGCCCTGACAAGTAGTCCTTCTTTCTAAAAAGCATATGTTGAGATGAAGAAGAGTTGTTTTGACACAAGTGGGGACTTTTTATTGGTTTGGGAAGTGAAACAATGAGGGGAAAAACATGTTGCAGTGTTACCTAGTTTGTTCTGATGGTCAGTAGGCAAGTCATGCATAACGGTGAACCCCATACCTGTTGCTAGGACTCGTGTGTATATATATATATGAATAATACATGATCACTCACAGTAAGTGGTGTATTTTGTGTAAACATGTTGCTAGATTCCCTGTTTCTTTCCTGCAGGCTCTTTTTTTCTAATCCC